ATGCACAATGTTTGCCTGGTTGTAACAAAACGTTTGTTAGAGTTTTGGATTAAAGGTAAGAAGGACGTTAGATTAGCTGAGGAAAATAATGTTAAAATATCAAATAATTTGATGAATCTACGATTGTACTTACTGTCGTGATATGCTTAATACTTTGCATTACACATCTCACAATTATCAATGAAAATGTATAATCTGTATTTTAAATAACTTGTAAACAAACAAATAATTTATCTGTCATAACAAATATGCTGTTCAATACAATTTCTTGTTATTTACATATATGTCAACTCATCTATTGTTAACTATGCTATCTAATATAATTATCATGTAATGTATACTTTAAAAGAATAAAATATAATCATGAATAGAATAAACGGCAATATCCCTGGATATGGGGGTACCTTTTTAGTACTATAAAAAGCACTGATATCCATTGAGAAACAATTGAGTTCATTCTTACAAACCACTCTTGCTTTAACATTTTGATCACAGCCCCGTGCTGCCGTTTGAGTTATTTTATTGTGTATACCTTATTCGTGTTTAAAACTTATTTTAGTCTAAAAAGACATTATTACCATAAATAAATAATATTGAGTAAAAATTGGCATTTCTGGTAAATACTTCATTTATCTACTTGGACATTACAGAATACAAAGTCAGTTGATATTATCCCATTTATTTAGAGTTAATAATCCGAGTAAAGAACGATAAAGCAATAGATCTATAATCTCCTTTTAATATCAAGAGTAATTTTGCTAGTTTGTTCACACCTACTACATATACACATTACAGAGTCTCGAGGGTCGGATTACCGCCCCGTGCCTAAAAGGAGTTTAAAAAACCTTATGTGTATCTGATTATATTAATAGACACTTCGACTGGGTATTCGAGGGTCGGATTACCGCCCCGTTACCTCAGTGTCCTATTAAAGGAGTTTACAAATTTATTAATGCCGCCCCCACACCCCCCATTGCTCTTTATATTTTCTATATACAATATTTCACAATTATTTTGTTGAACTTTTAACTTTATACATTATCAACAGTGATATAGTCGTAATTTAATCAATGGATAAGTTAAAAACCTAAATGAGGAAACGTGATGAATTTCACCCCCACACTACTTTTCAAAGGCCTTAAAACATAGTTTTGGGAGACGGAATAAAAATATTGTGATGTTTTAACTGTGTTAAAAATATGTATTTTCTAATTATTACATAATGCAACTAAAACTCTTAATCCTCCCAGATACGGCCTTGCTCCTTCCAACTTCCAAACTATTACTCGAATATTTTTACTGACACTTCTAAGTTCTTACATAAATTAAATTTCATAGTCATATAATCGATAAGTGTATTATTAGATACTGTTATATTTTTTATAAATAAACAATAAACTTTATGCAGTAATAAAATAATCTTACAATCATTGTTTTCAAATCGTTAAAACATAAATGAAATAAACGTGAATAGGTACATGTTAGCACTATCTTAATTCATTATAGGTAATATATTAAATAACTAGATTGGTTGGTAAACGGTTTATTACGGAAAAATACAAATTACCAATTTCAACAGCTATAGGTTAACCCAATAACTTTCAGTTTCAACTTAGTATGTGTTATATCGTTAATTTCTGGTCGATGTTTTAAATTTTGTCAAATGTCAATAAAATTGTCGTGAAATGATAAACATTATCTTATTTATTTTAATGATATTTATTTATACACTTTGACAGTGTTTTGTTTTACATTAATATTATATTTTTAAAATGATTATAGTCTCGAGCCATATTTGTGTGTTTATAACTTCAGATTTATGTTTATATGTGGTATGACTAGAGATTAAACAAACTTATAAGTTATTCAAAATTTGTGTTTTATGACAAACATACCTATATACGATACCCACGTATTACTTTTTATTTTATTCTTTAGTCTATACTGTATTTTATAAATACGTATATGCACTAATAAGAAAACTAACAGTGGGTATACGCCGTATACCCGCGTATCACTCATTATTTTATAAGTATACGCATTAACAAAAAATCAAAGAAGTGGGTATACGCTCCACGACACCTCTGGTCGGGTCAAACAAAAACACACAGTCGATACAAATAGCATGCCGATAATGCGCCTTTTGCCATTATTATTATTCGTCTATAATTTTTCACTTCTATTTTAAATATTAGAAAAAACCTGTGTACACGACAAAAGAAAATTTATTTTGTGCGTTTGAGAAGCGATAAAGATTTCCACGTTAAAATCTCCAACTTTCCCCGATTTTCAGATATATTAGAAAGTACGATCCTTTCTTTGAATCGACACACGAGTGCAAATCGTGATCAAAAAGGCTTACATAACTAATGAATATTGATAGTAGAACATCCAATGAATTACCTCCTATAAATCTATTTTGCATGCCACGATGACAAGGAATTTACTCATTTATCTTGGTAAAAAATCGCCTCAAGTAACATGACCAGTTCGACTTTGATCTAATCACCTGGGAGTCTCAAATCTGCCAAAAGAGTGGCAATATGAAAATAATTTGGTCTATAAAAGCAATGTACGACACCCACCCTATACCTAAGTCGAATCAGTGAAGTAGAGTCGATAGCTTTTTTTTCTAATCGTTTTAAATCTTTTATTTTTTTTTTAATTTATATTTAATAATTTAAATAATTTAATTTAATAATTTAATAATTATTTATATTATTATTATTTATTTTTTAAAACAATATCTACAAAATATTTTCAAGTACAACTTTTTAAATTACTACAGTAAAAATAAAAATTTATCCATCGTATAGTTTTTAAGCTTTACTTCAAAAATACTTTATGCATAACATAATAGCTGTGACTTAAATGTCTAATTTAATGGTCAAGTTCAAAATATTTTTTATAAGCTTTAGTGATATGTCTTCTCAGCCACAAGTCCTCCCTATACCCATAAATAAAAGATTTTCACCGTATCAGAGTATAAATGTATTCTTAATTAATATTAATAATTGAAATTAAATAAATAAGAATAAATGTTGACTGAGACACAGTACAAAATTTTTATTTATTTTTGGTATATGGACTTGTGGTTGAGAAAGTTTATAGAAATTAAGCTTACAGAAAATATTTCAAACTTGACCATTAACTTTTAAGTCCCAACTAGAAAAAAAAAAATTATTGTAAATTTATATATTACTCATTCAAAATAATCACATATTTATTAAATGTTACAATTTTCATTGTTAGTTATAGATACTATGTTTAAATGATAATGCTATAAGAATTTATTTTTTGTTGAAATTTGTTTAAATATTTTATTACATTCATGGAACAGTGGTAATTTAATTTAGACTAGATATAATTTTAAAATAAATTAATAAAATATTTTTACTAACTAATAGTAGTGATAATACAAAAGTTACAGGATAAAATAAATTAAATGGACTAGACATCTTTGATACTTTATTAATAACAAAGAAAAATGTATTAAATGTTAGTTTACAAGTGATAAGTACATATTTTTAAGGGGAATAACAATTATTTAATATTATATGAGGTTTAACTACTGATAAATAAAATATCAAAGAATAACACTTGTGAAAAATAATGCAGTGCATTGTTAAAAATATGTGAAGTCTAATTTTGTTACAATTTCATTGTAATTATTATTTAAAAAAGAAAAGGCTATTCAGATATTTTTTACAAGGAAATATCAAACTGATTTCAATAAATGTATATTAGATTTTAAAGAAAAAGAACTTTAAATAAATAATTTTTTACTCCTTAATATTTTTAACTTTTCTTTGAGCACCACTGGAGATTATAATGGTTTTACTAATAATTTAACATTGATTATAAAACCATGTCACAAAATTAAAATTGTTTAACGATGAGTTAATATATTTTTACTTTTAGAGACACAGTATTTTTAAATAAGAAAAAATTAATTCTACTTATATATAACCAAAACTTACTCATTATTAGCAAACTTAAATTAGAACTTGTAGCAAAACTTACACAGAATAATATTATTTTTATTTTTTTATATAAAAGTTAAAGTTTATATTACCAAATTGGACATAGAACACTCAATTTTATATTGTACAAATATTAACAATTTTATGTTTATATTAGTCATTATTTTCTAATAATACACACTTAGGAATTAATCACTAATAAAATTGCACATGACAATTTTTACAGTACATATTTGTTATAGAAAAATTAGTTTTCAAATGAATCTCTTAGATGTTAAAAAATAAGTTACGGTTAGATAAAATTTTTATGGATCAACTAAAAAACAGTTTTTTGATTTGATGAAAATATTTTGTAATTATTGGATAATTAAGAAATAAAATTCTCAAAGATAAATATATATTCTAACAATAGAGAAAACTTTTTTAAAAATGTACATTTATATTAAAAACTATTAATTTTATGTTACTTAATGAATGACTATTATCATTCGAGCATTAATAACATTTGTCAAATGCGAGAAATTGTATCAGAAAATAGTGAGAAAAATGTATATTATTGTATAATAACTATAGTAGCAAATAAATGCTAATTTAATAGAACATTTTAATTTAAATTTTACAATATTATTAATAATAATATAATAATTATATAATTAATTTAATAATGTAGTGTTTCTGTAGCCACTTGAGCCTGACGATTCAACATATACGATCGATGCGCCCTATTACTAATAATACAATTAAAATATAATATAACTTTCGATGCATAATCAAACTATCGATAATGTCGGAGTTTTTGCTGTCTCATTTTTTTAATTTAATGTCGGAATAAAATCCGTCGTAATTTTGGTAACCTATGGTATCAGATGATCGGAGTACCAGATGTTCGTAACAATTACTACTTTGTCAAATGTCAAAGTATGTAAATGTCGGAGCATTATCAGTTCGTGGAAAAGCTGTTTTCCCTAAATATTAAATGCACCTGACGTCTTTATCAGATAGCGACAAAAGTATACTTTTAAGCATTTATTTCGCTAGATGCGAGGCTAACTCTTCTCTCTTTCTCTCTCTATCTTTCTATATATACTAAAATATATCCTATTTTCGAAAGCCCCTCTAAATATGAACCACTTGAAACATTTTTTTACATTTTTTACGCTTTAAAATTCGCTTTTTTCTCCGATCGCCGTGTTTCTGGTATCGTTCGATGGCACTTGCGGTCCTGCGTCTTTTTCCGACCTCCGCTCGAATTTTTCGCCGCTTCCGTTTTTTGCGATCCGCGATTTTCGAAATTCCGTGGAACTTAAAACAACGCGAAATAGGGGACGCGTCTCTTACTAGGGCGCTTGAGTTCCCGCCTTTTTGTCGTTATCACCGCTTTTTGTTCGTCGTCCGCCGTTTTTACATTGTTTTTGCGGGTAATGCGCGTATTTATTATTAGAAAAAACGAAACGCGTCGGTTTTCGTTTTGCCGTTTTATTGCGATCGCAACCGACCAAGTTAAATAATAACTGTCAATATTTTAACGATGACAGAGGTGTTTTTTCCATTGGATTTTGTCATTTTCAGACCACCTGTCGTGTGCCCGAGGACCGATTTATATCGTTGGTAACGTATGTTTATATTTTTGAAAACAAAACGTGCGTTTTGATTATGCGATATTTATGTAAATTTTTTGTTTACAGAAACGCGTTTGTGGTCCCGTCGTAATAGTTTTCTTGACGGTTGTCGTACAACTGTAACGACTGCATTAATTGTTTAAGGTGATTTGTAAATTTTGTAGTTCTACTGCTATATTGCCATTTTTAATAATTGAAACGTGTGTGATTGGTAATTTTACAGCTATCGTAATTTCTAAATTTTCGTTGATATTTCAATGATAATGGCGGTATTTTTTTTTTAATTCTCTTTTGTAATTTTTAGGCGGTGTTTGTTTTGTCCGGACGACTGATCGAACGGCAGCTCGACCCAATGTTGGCCAAGAGTACAGGCCCATTTCAATAATGGATTTATTAAATAGGTAATGCATATTTATTCATTGTAAGTAAAAACGTGTCCATTCGATAATTTTACAAAAGTTGTAATTAATATAATTTTTGTATTGTACATATATTATATTATGGTAATGACAGTATTGATTTAATTTGTTTTTGTAATTTTTAGACTCTATACCTGTTGTGCTAGGATAACTGATCTGGAGATTATTGGCAGTCATCGCTATTGGATTTATTATTACAAGGATATTCATTAAAAAAAAATTAATTGTCATTTACTTTTCTTAAAGTAAAGTTCATCTTTTTACATTTCAACTGATTTACTTTGCATAAGTCAATCATTAGGTTAATTTGTATTTCATTTATTGGTGCAATAAGTACTACTTTAGTCAATCTCTCTCTCTCTCTATATATATATATATAATTATTTTATTTTTGCATGTACTACATTTATATTTGTGATTCCCTTTATGATTATTTCTTATTGAAATGTGTTACTGACAATTTCACAGCAATTGTAATAATTATATAATTTTTATATTGTAGATATATTGTTATGGTAATGGCAGTATTAATTAATTTGATTTTGTAATTTTCAGTATGTGCAACTGTTTTCCCCGGGTAACTGTGATTGAAAAACTGCCAACCAACTAGAAGAGTGCTGCATCTAATTCATAATGGTTGTATTACACAGGTAATTGATTTTGACTTATTATATTTTAAATAAATTTAATTACTTTGCCTGTTTAAATTATTAGGTCGGTTGATATTTTATTTATTGTTGATTACAATGTAATATGTACTGCAGCGGTCAATACAATCCAAACGTTTTTAATTTTTTTTAGGCCTCTGGTAAAGCTACAAAATTTTCAATTCTGTCGTATGCACGATGTGTTGATAGTGCTGTGGGTTTTTTTTTAGCCAGTGTTTGCCATTCCTCCAAAATGTTCCTGTAAGTTTTTTGTTAGTTATTTTGGATTTTATTTTGATTTATATTGTTTACTTTTCAGCCTGTCAAACCTCAGTTCCTTAAGATCATGCCATTCAACAACGTCAGATGATACTCTTCACAATTACTATGTGTAGTCTGCTCTCGGAGTTCATCGAAAACTTTTATTTCTTATTTAATTTCCAACGTAATACTTTTACCTGTATTATTGTATAGATTTACGTTTTCGAACAAAAATGTTTTATGTGTGTGATCGCGACAATAAAGAAACATGATTTTTCCTCTTGGTCAATTTTTTTATTTTAAAAAGAAATTAATATCCTGTGTTTACAATATTTTTTACCATAGGTTAAAAAATAATAAAATCCTAGTGTTTTTAAAACATTGTTGTATCACAATTTAAATTTCATGCATGGCAATTGTTTATTTTTCTAATAATATTGATGATTAATAATTATATTAATGTATTCAAATTATATTTTGAGTACTGTATTTTATAAATAAAATTTATTTTATGTGTGTTATTGCCCAATAAAGACACATGATTTTTCCCCTATTTAAATTACTATTTTTTTTTTTTTTAATAATAATATTTTATGTGTGCAATATTTTTAAAATATTTAATTTAAAAAATATCTCATCAGATTTTAAATTTTATGCATGGAAATTATCGTACATAACGACTTTTTTACTTTGTCAATTATTATATATTGAATTTCTGATACGTATGTTTTATTCAAATGACAAATTCATTATTTTATTATTTTCAAATTTACAAGTTAAAATATTTATTTTTGCAATATTCGTTTTTGCCTACTCCATAAAATCAATGTATTTTAATTTCAATTACTCTAATTTAACATGAAATATTAATCGTATTTCACTAGAGTTTTCTATTTATATTTTCCCCCTTGAACCCGATTAGTAAGCCTTATCCGGCGCAGCTGGATAACTCCTCCGTAATCTATAGCCTATTTGGTCCTTTCTCCTAAATTGTCGACAATTCGATATATTTAACCCCTTAACGATACGTTTTCAACTAAAGCGCTTAGACATGCTACTCGAATTCACCTGTTATTGTTCTCCTTAGAACACGATTGATCCCCCTTTGGATCGTCTTGTCTATTTTGTACAAATGATCATTTCCCGTCGAGAAGCTCTGACCAAATACTCGTAATTCGATTCGTTTCTCGAACGAGTACCCCTCTTGCAAACGATATGTGACGAAATCGACTGCCCACCGAATACGCTACCGAGTCGACGTTTCATCCGATCGATGAGTTAACACTAATCACAAGTACTTAAATCAAGTTTCATTACATTCTAGCTATCAAAATATCAAAGATTTTTAATGAAGGACACTAAAAAAAAATAAAAATAATTTTCCTGAATGTATAAAAATTTGCATTAGAAAACCTTTTTATTCCAAGGCGACAAATTTTATGATCGATTTATGTAATATGCTGAAGATTTAACAAGTATACAATTAGCAAACATTTATTACAAAATACATCATTAACTATTCAAAATTTTGTTATTTCAACACACACGACATAGAATAATATATATATATATATAAATAACAATAATAATATAACGTGTTTAATAAAATGCTGGTATAAATTAAATGTACCTAACGTCTTTATCGGATAGCGACAATAGTACACTTCTAATCATTTATTTCGTTAGATGCGAGGCTAACTCTTGACGAGTTGCACTTGCAGCTAGTCATTTTTACTCCTAAAATTCATTAGTTGTTAACATCAACAATTTGTGTTGTTGTTAAATAAGTAACCTTTTACAATTTACGTCATATGGCCTGTTGGTCTAGGGGTATGATTCTCGCTTCGGGTGCGAGAGGTCCCGGGTTCAAATCCCGGACAGGCCCTATAATTTTTAATAAAATTTATTTCAACGTTACAAGTTTATTTAGTGAGTAACATTCATCAACACAAATTATTTTAAGGTTGTACGTAGTTCATACACATAACAGTTCCATATTACTCCACAAATTTATAAACTTCAATCCTACTTTCATGAGCAACATTACATCTTGATATTGATTAATACTTGACCAGTTTTTGAATGAGACTATTAAAGAGCGAGATATTATACATCAAATTCTCACTTTATTCATTTTGAAATCGACACATTGCAGTGATATTTATAAAAAATTAATTATTTATTAAATTTTTTTAATTGTATATTTTTACATAATTTAATTTTTGTAAAAATTATTAACTTACATTAATAAATCATCTTAGAGCGTATCGCGGTGGCCGTGACCTATTTAGATTATGTGTTTTTGGTATTAAGAGTTTAAAATTATTATTAAATTTATTTAAAACTTTTTTTCATAGGTTTGTTAAACCTATGTGATAATTTTGTTTATTTAATCAGGTCATTTCATATCAGTTTATGTAAAAATTATAATCAGTTAGTTGTTGTTCAGCGACGCTCCCTGTGTGAGGTCTTTGGAAGATGGTGTTTCGATGTAAGATATACGTATAGTTGTTAATTAATTTCGTACGTAGTAGTTGTGTTTAATTAATTTGAATCGTCGAATATGAGTGGTGTTTGACAGGTTTTCCAAGTATTTATTTATTAATTTAAAATCATTTTTCCCGTAATTATAGAAAAATACTACTGCAAAATTTAAAAATAAATAAAAATCACATTAAAAAATATATTATATTTAAGAATATTATTTATTTATAATATAATATTGATTATAAATCATATATACATATATATCGTCACTAAGAAATAAAGAAAATTATTTTTCAATCATATTTTAAATTAAAATGATGAGTTTCCGTTAAAAAAAATTAAAGTTTAGGGTTCATACTTCCGAAGGGATGAAAAAAAATTGTGTAACTTTATTCTAGAATCTTTTAATTAAATAGTTTTCACCTTTATGAAAATTTCAAGATGTTTTTCAATTTTCGAGGGTAATTTAAAAAAGTGATACAGACAAAAATAGGTAAAAAATTAATACAATTTCTTATAGAAGCTAAAAGTTCTTTGTGGGAGGGATTTTCCTGTAATACAAAATTAAATTTTAAGTTCAATTTAAAACGAAATAATGCTAAAATTGGTATATAAAATAATTGTCTCAAAACAATATATATTTGAGGTAAAAAATATATTATTCATAATTCATAAATGAAATAAAAAGAAGTACAAAAATAAAAAAAATCTTTACAAATTTGTCAACAAATATTCTTTAAGTATTTTGTTGTTTTTAGATATTTAATGTTTATAAATTAATTTTTTTTTACAAGATTTTAAATTTAGTCTTGTTCGTCTAAAAATTTCTACACCATTTTCATTTTCTTCATTTATTGTTGAGAGTATTTCATCTTTTTCTATTTTCCCTTCATTATCATCAACATCTTCATCACTGTCCATAATCATAAGTCTTCTTTTAACTTTTGATCGATATCTAGCACTTCGTTTTAAAACTGTTTGTTGCAATTCACTTTCAACATCATTGGGAGTCTCGGTTAATGTTTTTGATAAATTTTTTCTGGCAGTGTTACCTATGGATTAAAAACACATTTATTCATTATAAATTAAGATTACTACATCATCTTTTTATTTTTGAAGTGAAACTTCTTTACAGAGAGTACAAAAAAAAAAAAAGAAAATTATCTTGCATTACGGTCGCCCATCATAGACATGATCTATTGTTTTATTAAGTATATGGTCAACATCTTATTGTTTGATGAACGTATACGTTTGATAAATATTTATTTTTCACCATTGTTTGCAATTTATTGTAATAATATAAATAAATATTATGAATTTTGAATTCATACTACTTGATTTTTAATATTAAAGTATTTATTTATAATTAATACATTACTTATTTTAAAAACAATATTTTATTACTAATGCATATTAATTTATAATTTTGATAATTTAATTTACTTGATGTAAATTTTAAAAAATGCACAATTACAAAAATTAAATTAATTAATGTACTATAAACAATACTTTAAATTTCGAAAATAAAGTGCTAAATATATTTCATATTTGAATTTAATTTAATCTATTTATTTTTAAAATTATACTAATTAAAATAAACACCAATAATTATTAAGCTATATTAAAACTTTGTATTGAAAGCTAAATGGAAACTTATATTTGTTTTTACTATTAGATTTGATTGAATAAACGTTTTTATTTATACTTTATTCAATTCCCAGTAAGTTGTAAGTCATTTAAGTATAAGAGAGATAAAAAATAAACATTATTTTATACAAAGAACTTATTAAAATTTATTTATAGCAAATGTTATGAATTGATATGTGCTATTGTATTGTTTTTAATAATACAATGTACATACACGAAATATCAAATGAAATAGAACATTTTTATTTCAATCGAATTTAATCTTAAAATATAAAAAATATTGGGGTAGCCATTTGAAAATTGAAAGTTGATACAAGTATAGAGTATAAGAAATTGTAGAAAATTTATTTTTAATAAAAAAATAGTTTAACAAAGAACTATTATTGTTCAAAAAATAAAATAATAATTAGCTCTAATATTTTCAATATTTGTTATTGCTAAAGAAACAACTAAAATTATTAATCAAGATTTTTTTTTATTTTTAATTATAAACAATAATTAATATGAATATGTGGACTCACGTTTTCCTGGTGTTTTTTGAGATAATGGGACAATATTTTCATCCGCAACTATTTTTTCTATTTTATCTGATAAATCATTCAAAATTTCTTTAGTAGAAGGTTTTGCCATTCTAGAATTTTGACTGATAAGGACATTGAAATTATTATAAACTGCAGGATTTTTTATTTTATCAGCATAAAGAGATATATTTTCAGACAATTTTGTGAAACTTTTATCTGAATACTTTATTTGCATTAAACAATAAGATATGTAAGATGCTTGAATTTCATTTGTTGATTCTTTAAGTCTCAAACATAATTTGTCAACTAATGATTCAAGTTGTCGTTCTTTACTTATGAGTGGAAATAAAAATCTTAACAAATTAAAATTATAATAAATACAATAAATTAACAAATTGATTTAGCTAAGTAGGACATAAAAGAAATTTTTGACATACTTCATAATAGTTTGGAAATCATTTTCTGGTACTACATCTTCTGGATTTGATAACATTGAAATAATATCTGATATAACATTATACAATGAATTTCCTTTTTCAGCTATAACTCCAAAAAATTGTTTAGTAGTATCTAAAAGTTATAATATTTTAATATTTAAAGAATTAAAATTAGAAATAAATACAATTTTACATTTTATCTGTTCATCTTCATCAACAAGTAGTCTAGCAATACCAGTAATTTGTCCTCTGACTTTAATTATTTCTTGGCGTATAAGATCAATAATAGTGGTCAATGCCGTATACCTAACTATCACACATTTATCTTGAAGCCTAAAATAAATTGAACAAATTTTAACAAAAAATAATATAAATTACAAACAAATAATTGTAGTTTAGTTTTATTCTAACAAAATCAAATTAACATATGTTTTTGTAGTTAGAGATTCATAAAAATTTCTTTCCACATGCTCTTCAATAATTTTTATCAAATTAAGAAAATAATGTCATAATCAAGAATTATGAAAAAAAAAACAGTTTGTATTATGTAAGTAATTTAACAGATTATAGGCAGCGGCAGATTGAGTTACAAGGATTTCAGGAAAGTTCATAATAGACTAGTAATCAAATATCACTGGGATGAAATCTTAAACACTTGTATAGAAATTTGACTATTTATTTAATAATTTCAATACTTTCCATTGAGGTTAAAATATACCCATTTTAATTTAAATATATTTTGATACACTCAGAAATAATAACAATTTAATTTATCAAATATTATACATAAAATAAATAATAAAAACAAAAAATACAGCATACCTAGCATATAGTTTATCAGTAAAAGGTGTCAGTAAATTAGGATGCTTAAAAACCAACCAGCCAAATCCAATGATAAGATCAATACGCATTGTATAATCTTCAGAAGTTTCAATAAGATCCATAAACATCTAAAATTATCATTTTTTTAAAATTAAAGACAAAACTTAAAAAAGTACAAACAAACATACATTTAAATTTTTTTGACAAAACGAGCTTGAAACTAACATAAATTTTATTAAAGTGATTATTGAATTGTTTCTTAGATTTTGATGTTCAGAGTGACATGATATTAACACATGTTTCCTACAACATAACATATTTCTGAATCAATTAAAATTTCAAATAATTAATTTAATAATTAAAATATCATACGAAAAAGAAGACAATATTCCATTTCCAGTAATAAGTTGTTTGTCACAGGTTTGTCTAATTTGTTCATTAATAGCTTCAATTTCAGCAGATTCAGAATCATGCACACTCTATAATAATAGTTTAATTTTCAAGATAATAATGTATAATTATTGTACAAAATAACAAAATGGCAGTAGTATAATGAAAATCTAAATAAAGTTATGACTGGTTAGGTATATAGTCTTCAACATATATGTAAGAAAGTTTATATATATGTAAAAATATTCTCACTTTCTTTAATAATTAAAGAATATTTAATTTATTTAAAAAAATTATAATTATTATAATTCAATTTGTAAATATTAAAACACACGTATATATGTAATGTTAATTGTTGTCGTTAATAATGTATATAAAACAGATGATTTGCCTGCTCATGTTATATAAATAAATTAATAATTTCAAGATAAATAGAAGTTATTAATTGGTATAAGTCTAGTAGCTAAAATACAATTTTTTTGGAAGAGGCATACCTTTAAAAATATTTTAATATTACTAAATATACAACTTTTCCAAATTTTTTTTAGAGAGAAATTAATTTTTATACTAGAAGTAGAATAATTTTTTACTTAAATTATCATTGCAGTTTAATCGATTTAAAATAAGAATTTTTTGAAAAAGTTGTTGAATTAAAATTATATAATAATTAGTGATGGGAAATATCGAATAGTAACTATCGAACTATTCGATAGTCATTCAGAAACTATTCAAATAGTAAAAATATTCAATAGTTACACATACATTCAAATATTTATAAAAACTATTCGATAGTCTATTCGAATATTTATAAAATACTATTCGGTACCTCCATTAGAATTGTTTTTAAAATATTTGAAAATGCCCATCACTAATTTTTTTTATTATTAATTGTATCCTATTTATAATCTTAGTACCCTGAATAAACAGTTTTTAATGATTAGAATTAAGAATGATTTATATTCAAAAAATGAATTTTAGCAAATTACTTTTTTTTATTTTATTTTTTTGAGCAAGTAAAAATAATTTTAGAAAATTTTTGTGAATATAATTTTAAAAGAAAATATTAAAATCTATAATTTATATTCTATACATTGTTACGCTAAGTGTTCAATGATTAACCGACTAATAAAAATAGTTCATATAATTTTTAAAGAGGAGCAGTATTTATTGTTGTCGCCACTTTTACAAACATAAAAATTTAAAACGTGCTGTCCTCTTTATCAGTGTTATGCCTTTATATGACAAAAGAGCAGGTAATGCTACACTAAGAACAGTATACAAGGTATTAAGTGTAAAATAAGACTTTAGTATTTACGAATACTTCTGTTGCGCATAGAATAAACCTTTTTGATAAAACTGAAAATATATTAGTTATTGAAAAAAAAAACTGCTTTTTAATTTTCAACCCATATTTATCAGTTTTTACAAACGATTCACAAACTAAAAATAAATAAAATGGTACTTTTTACTGTTATTAATTGTATAATAATTTATTTTAAGTATTCGTTAATTATCTTCTTATTATAATTAAGTGTATTCAATAAAAATTTTAGTTACAACTATTCGAATATTTTTTAAAACCATTCGCTAGCCCATTCGAATATTTTTAAAAACTATTCGATAGTCTTTTCGAATAGTTTATGCTAAAAACACACTATTCGGTTGTATAAAAACAATTCGAATAGTATTCGATAGTTTAAAATATTAGAAACGCCCATCACTAATAATAATCACAAGGGTTGAACACTTGTAATATATATACATTTTGTTTAACTAATTCTGAAAACATCCATATCAGTCACAATTTTTTTAATTTAAAGATTAATGAATTACTAGTTATGATTTAAATGTTATTGTTAGTAATAATACAATTTAGATAAATAAATATTGAAAATGTAGACTAAAAATAATTTTAAAATATTACTTCATCTTCTTTGGTTTCAACAGAATTCGCTCGTTTAGACTGGTATTTAGCTCTAATGCAGCTAATTAACTCTTTTGAGACATAGTTTTCTAGGTGATTATGTTGTCTAAAAATGTCGAAATTGATTAAGAGTGAGTAAGCTACAGTGTAAATTAATTATTACTTAAAAAAATATTTTGTAAATATAAATATAATAACTGTTTATATATTTATAAAATTATGGCAGTTTTAAGTAAAAAAACCCGGCACAGTTGTGACGTAGCATACATGGGTCAAGTATAATGATATCTGAAATTGATTACAATAACTATTATAAAAAATACTTTGATGCAAATCTTTAGATAGTGTTTAATTTTAAAAAATTGAAGGATTATTCTAAAAGCTACATGATTTGTTATTTCCTTATTTATATCCTGATTAAGATAAAGTGTGTCAAATGAATAAGGGATATAAATATTATTTCTCATAAAAAAATTGTATTGATCCATACACTTTTCAATAAGTTATAGCATTATTGAGTTAAAAATGTAAAATACAAAATCGAGAATTTTTGCACAAAAATAGCATTTGGTAACTATTTTCATTGTGAAGACAAAATACAGTCCGAAATTTTTTTTTCCATGATAAAGTATATTACATTAGCTTTAATTAAAGATATATATAACAATGTCAGATTTTCCAGAACACTTTCAAAATTTAAATTGAAAAATTTAATATTTTGAATCCCCCCGTGGGCAGGTAAATGGTTAGATTTACAAAAAAATATACCAAATAATAGATAAAGACATCACGCATCTTTAAAGAAAAAATTATATTGATTTGATCATTTTTAAAAAAGTTATGGCAGTTTAAATAAGAAAAATTGAAAAAAATGTCGAATATTTGCAATTTTTAAATTTGTAATTTTTTTGGAGATTTCCCTCATTTTCGGGGAACAAAGCATATTTTTTCAATTTTTGAGGGTAATGTCTTCGACTAGATATGATTTGTGATCTTTTGACGTATCGTTGAAAGAAACCTGTTTGGTGAGAGCTGAGAAAAAGTGGTGACAAAAAAAAAAAAAAAACACATCATAGTAAAATCAATACCTTCTCAGCTTTGCATTAAAGCTAAAAATTGAAAAATTAGCAATTTTTAAATTTGTAATTTTTTTGGAGGACTTTCACTATTTACGGGGAACGAGGGCAAAATTTTCAATTTTTGAGAGTAATGTCTTCAAATAGATACAATTTGTGATCTTTTGACATATCGTTGAGAAAAATTGGTCTAGTGAGAGCTGAAAAAAAGCGGTAACAAACACAAAAAAAAAAATACATCATTGTAACATCGAAGCTAAAATTATGTTTCTATTCTACAACTTTTCATAGATCTAATTAAAATAATATAAATATTTAATTTAATTTGTCTTACTGTAAAGCAATATGACCAATAAAAAACATGAATTTAGCAAACAAATCTACTTCTATTTCAATATTTAATTCTTTTTGACTTGAATAATCTAAAATAAAGTTTATTTAAAAAAAAAAAATTAATATTAATATTCAGAGGTATAGTAAATTATATTACTTGATGTTTCTTTATTATTTTTCATTATTTCAAATAACTTTTCAATTAGTGTCAAGCAAGTGATATCTGGTTTTAAAGTTAACTAAAAAAAAAAATTTTTAATAAATAGTACCTAAAAATTAAATGTTACAAACTTTAAAAATTGTGTTTATAGCATTTGATGCAACATCATTAAATAATTGAATATCACAATCTGTAAAACACTTTTGAAGAACATTCATAATTTTTATGACCAAAACATGATTATCAGGAAGTCTATAATATGAACCATATTATAGTAAGTAAAATTCTTAATTATTATTTGCAATATTAATTTAATACCTTTTGAAGTTTTCTTTAGTAATATTTTCTAAAATTTGACAAGTATAATTAAATAGCTGATATTCATTGCATAATCCATATTGAATACAAATATCAATATTTCCCTTGGCAATGCATGGTTTAGCGCTAAATAAAAAAATTTGTTAGTAAATTTAATTTAATTAATTTGTATAATATGTAAATTTGATTTTTTTTTGTACCTAGCTAACATAGAAATAAGCAAAGCAGTTACAATTTGATCTTCTTTTGTTATAGGAATTGATTCAGTATACCAAGCCCAAAGAAGCATAATACAATCATCATCCAATGTTTTATTCATTACCCATTCATTTAATAGAACCTTAAAGGCTTTTCTGTTAGTTACATTTAAAGACTTTGCTAAATTAAGTAATCTCTTCATAATCTAAAATTATTTAATTGTAATAGACAAAAATTACTAAAATATTTAATATAAATGTACAATCATAGGTCGAGCATTAGAATCCACATTTTCTTCTTCAATACTAAGATAAATAGTGTTATAAGAATTTATCATGGCATCTTTTATATTAGATTCGTTTGAATAAATTAATTTAAGCATTGCATCAATGCCTAATTGTGCTTCAGGTACACCAAATTGATGAGCTGTAGTGAAAAAATCTATTGCCTCTAATGATTCTGAAGTTGTATTACCAAACATCAACTGAATAATTGTTTTTGATGCTTCTTTTAAAGTACTTAAATAAGAAGCACAATCCTAAAATTTAATATTCAAAATTTATAATAAACTTGTGTATATAAAACACATAAATGTAAATTTAAAAATCATAAGTTTAATTCTTAGGGAGGACTAAATTTTCATCATCCTAAAAAACATTTTTAAATAAAAATAAATGCAAATGAATGTTGAAGTATTTGTAACTGCTAAGGCTTTTTTTGGTTACACCAGTAAAAATTATTATGTGTATTATAGAAGGAAAAATTATAGATTAAAATCTAACAGTAATTAAAGTTCAAATCATATGACACTTTAATCTAAATTTACTTAAATATGTTTGATTATTCAAACCTCTATGAATTGATTGTAATATTAGTGCGAATTGTAATTAGTTAATTATAAGCCACTGATAGTCAGGTTAAATTTTTATCCAATATATACAGAATGATTTTATTATCATTACCCACTAAATTACTTACAGAATAAATATAATTTAAACATTTTTTTTTTGGTTATCCTTAGTTACATGTTTTTCTTAAATATTAATTATGTAATGCTTTTTAAGTTCATCCTATATGCTTGGTAAGGGTATAAACCTTATTATTTTAAATGGGAACATATATTTTGAATTTTATAAAATGTTTGAGTTTTTAATATAATAGTAAATGACATTTGAATTTTTAATACAACTTTATTTGTTTATTAGATATAAACATTTAAAGATTCAAATTTTTAAGTTAATATATATATAATACACATGGGGTTAAAAATACAGGTAGCTAATTGGTTTTTTATGACATCAACATTCACAGATATACAGCATTACTATTATCAATTGTATTAGGGCACATTGTTGTGAGTTCATAAATACACTAACTGATAATATAAAAAGTATATCTATTGATAGTCATAATTGATAATAAATAATCCAGGACTGTCACAAAGATGTCATAAAAAACCAATTAGCTACCTATATTTGTAATCCCTTGTGTATTATACATGTATATTAACTCAAAAATTTGAAACTTTAAATGTTTATATCTAATAAAATGATGAATTTATGTTAAACACTTAAGTACCATTTACTATTAAAATAAAACCTCAAATATTTTATTGAATTCAAAATATGTTCCCATTTAAAGAACAAAGTTGATACCTTACAAGGCATTAGGGATGAACTTAAAAAGTTTACATAGTTAATAATTCAAGAAAAACGTGTAACTAAGGATAACCAAAAAAAAAAATGTTTAAATTATATTTATTCTGTAAGTAATTTAGTGGATGATGATAAAAAAATCACTCTGTATATTCTGAAACATTTTCAAAAGTTATCTTTGTACACAAAAGTTGTTAAATAAACATTTTTTTGACTAAGGGAAAATTCAGATATTTTAAAACAATGACAAAATAAATAAGTATATGTAAGGTATTACTAAAATTTGTTTTGATCAATTCACTTTTAAAAATTTTGGGATTTCAATGATAGCAATAATCTACTATTCATTTTAGGATGTCATTCATTTCCAGAGAATGAGGAAAAATTTGAGGGTAATGTCTACAAATGGACATTCAAATAGACTAATTTATATTCTTTTGAGGTATCATTATGCAAAATATATTTTGTGAAAAGTAAGAAAATGTTGTAACAAACATACACCCAAAAAATAATATAATAAATACACACATTATATTAAAAGTATAGCTGTAGATTATATGATAATATATTAATACTGAAAAATAAAAATAAAAATGTTCAATGTTTTAGTCAAAAAATGTTTGAAAATTGTGGACAAAATAACAATATATCACCTGAAGGTAAGTTATTTTAGTTTCAGAAGAGTATATTTTATTGCTCAATTCTTCTAGAGTCATTTGTTCTAGATCATCAATATTGCATTCAATATTAGGTAATTTAAGTTGATACCACCATATATTTTTAAAGCATACAAAAAATTGATCCACTATGGAATTATTTTCATTTTCTAATCTATTAAAATGAAAAAAAAAATATGTACTGTGGTTATATACAGGAAAAAATATTTTTTGGCTATGGTTAATATAATGACAAACCATACATATAATTAGACCAACTATAATATCTAGTTGAAATAACTATTTTTTATATTTGGTACAATTATTAATTCTCATAACTATAGAATTGAATTTTAGCTTTATTAACAATAATATTTAGTCAGTTAGCCCGACCAAATATTTTTTCTGTGTACATAACTTAAAACTACATAAACTTATACTTAAGAAATTCATAATATTTATTTGATAAATTATATTTATTACTAATATTTATAAATTATAATTTAATTAGTTATTATTGTTATACAGGCTGATTTTTTTTATCATAACCCACTAAATTACTTACAGAATAAATATAATTTAAACATTTTTTTTTTTNAAATTCAATTCTATAGTTATGAGAATTAATAATTGTACCAAATATAAAAAATAGTTATTTCAACTAGATATTATAGTTGGTCTAATTATGTGATTGGTTTGTCATTATATTAACCATAGCTAAAAAATATTTTTTCCTTATGATAAAAAAAATCACTCAGTATATTAAATTTTAATTTTGAAAAATAAAATTAATTTACTAACTACAACTCCATTTTATAGCAATATTTTACATACTCGAATAGCTTTTCATTCTTGAAAGTTTGCCTTCCCCGTAAAAAAAATTTTAAAGCAACCTTAAATCTTCGAAGAGTAATATAACTTTTTATTCTCATTAAAACTTCTGTTAGTGGCATATTTTCAAGTATCTCTAGTTCTTTAAATGATCTTAAATCACGTCCTAAATACAAAAAAGAGTTATTCACTATCATAAATTATAGATTTTTGATTTCTATTAAAAAAAAAAAACCATCAAGAATTTCTTCCAAAAATGATTTTAGTTGAGGTTCGAGAGATGACCACATTTCATTTTTAGGAAGACCTCCATCTATTTTATCCTCAAGAATCTCTTTCATTTTATCCAACATAAAATTTTCAATTTCCAACTTTTCTTTTAAACTTTTTTCAGTAAACTAAAATTATTTTATTTTTATTAATGATAGTCAATTAATTAATATTAACTCAAATTACATCAGAACTATAAGGGTTTAACTTAATTAATGTTTTAATTAAAATAATTGCACTTTTAGTCACATAAGAGCTTTTATCGCTAAGTTTTTCTTCAGCACAAACCAATATTACTTTGTACATGTTTTTAGGTAAACAATCAGCATTTATTATAGCAGTGAATAGTTGCAAACACTAAAATTTAAATTCTAATTAAAAACATTAACTTTTGACTATAATATAATATAAAAAATATTCTTCATTTAACTTACCTTAGATCTGACAAATGCATTAACATCAAGTAAATGGTCTTGTATAATAGATAAATAATCGTCTCTTATTTTACGTTCTAATTCATCTAATTCATCATTATTTAAAATATGAATGATAAGTTCTTTTAAAACACTCAAAACACATATTCGCATGGAATAAGGCTGTAAAAATAATGATTATTTAAACATAATTCATAAACAATGATATTATAAAATAGAATTAAAGATATTTTAAACAGTACAACCAATTGATTAATAAATTAATAGATAAAAATCTTGAGAATTGTGTCATTGATTTTTTTAATTTACAGTAACTTATAGTTTTTAATGCAACAAACATAAGTTTCTATTTTTTTTTTTTTTTTTTTATGCAAAAACTTATTTAAAAATAATCTACAAAGTGTATTTAAAATTATTTGTTTTCCATACATTAATTCACAACTATTGATTACTTGATGTTATAAAATACAACAGTGAGACTATGAAATTAGAGCATTAAATCATAAAAAGTTAATAAAAGTGTTGCTACTTCAATATTAACTTACATCTGATTCCAAACATGGCAACATGTGTTCAATGTTTGATAATAATAATTCTGGATTGTATTTTGCAATTTCAACCAGAAAAGCACAACAAGATTTGCCTCCTGTTACTTCTTGTGAATTAGTTTCTTTAATACCTTCCATCACACCACTTTCAGCGATTTCTTTAACAATAAGTTCAATTATGGACGAACAGTTGTTACCAGATTCAACTACTTGCAGAACTGTTTTTGCCATTGGTAATGCTAAATGTTCATACATTTTTAATAACTAGAAAACAAGTTCAAATATTAAATCAAAGCCCTAAAAACAAAATTATTTTTTAAAACTTACTTGGACAATTTTAACTTTAAAAAATTCAGAATGATCATAGTCTGTAATTAATAAAATTAAAATTTGCATAATACTGTCTCTTAATGATTTTGTGCGAACAAAAGCTATACTTGGATTTTCTAATTGAGTATAGCAGCATGAAGCTAAATATCTAAGATCACAAATATATAAAACATTTTTTTATATATACCATACATTTTTATATTTATTCATTAATTTTATATCAACGAGGATGGGAAAACCAATACACCTCAGAAAACAGAATCAAACTTTAATATCAGCAAACCAAAATATAGTATATTTTTGGCCAAGCTATTTATGCTATTTAAAGAATTAAATGTAAATTTTATGATTATAAACATACGACACAAATGAGTGATCAACATATGGAGGATCATAAAGCTGTGTAATATTATTAGAAATGATAGAGTAAATGGCTGAAAATCCTTTACTTAGTTCCTCTTCCCAATTCCAGTTGTAATCAGAGGTATGTTTTTGAATCATGTCTTGTTTTTTATTACGACCCTTAAATACACATTTTTTTGTATGTAAGAATTACACATTAAATATAAAGATATATAAGTCTACTAAATGTTATACATTTTTTCATTACCTTTGTTTCTAAAAGTAATAATTTATAATCAGTTTCAATTTTAGCATTAAAACTATTCACAAATTCAACAAATAAATAAACAGTCATTTTAATTACATTTGTATACTGTTGTTTTGTATCTGAAGGAATATCATCAATATTTTCATAATTAAAAAAAAAAGATCCAACAATATTGAAACCTAAAACAACAGTTAATAATATTTTAAGTATTTTCATGTATAAACAAAAAAAATGTATAATATAAATATCCACCCTTAAAAATATTTCTATAGAATCTATAGAACCTAATCCATCCAAGGTCTCCTCAAATATAATACACATCAGCATATATACAAAAGATGAAGGGACAACTTAACTCTTCTAATGTTTTAAGATTACTATTAAGATAATTCCTCTTAATACATTGGTTTCATCACAAAAATTAAATAATATTATTATAAAATACAACTTTAAAGGTGAGAAANGTTTAAGATAATTCCTCTTAATACATTGGTTTCATCACAAAAATTAAATAATATTATTATAAAATACAACTTTAAAGGTGAGAAAAATTAGAAAAAAACCTTTAAGAAATTATTTGAAATTATGTCTTTTTAAATAGTTAGTTCTAATATCTAACATTAATCCACGATTTAGGTGAATGTCATTTGTCATATGCAAAGTATACATTTATGGAGCAATGGATATTATAAGTTTTATTAATTACTTTGTCAAAATATAGCTAAGTGAAAAAAATGTCTCAATATTATTTAATTTTATAACACTGTAAAATACAACGTTATAGCTAGATGAAGCTTTATTAACCATTGTTAAAGTCTTATAAATAATATTGAAAGGAAGGAGTTAAAAATAATATTTCACTACTGTTTAAACAGAAGTATTGTAACAATTATAATTAGTAAAAGTAAAAATAGACAACAAATATTATATAAGATGGTGATTGCAATGCAACGGCAATGACAATACAACTGACAATCATGCAATCAACTGAATCAAAGAAAACAATTCTTATAGCAACCTACCATTTTGTAATACATCAGCATAAATTATTAATGTTTTAGTTAACAGTAAAATAAATTGTAACACTAAATTTCAACAAATAAAATAGCATATTTCTAATTTTAGTTCTATAGCATTTAATATAATTATTGATTTTTTAAAAAAATGTTGAATTTTAAACAATCTAAAACAAAAAAAGCTACTTACTCTTAACAAGTATTTCATCATAAATAAAATGTAAATCTTTATATTCAAGCTGATCAACAAATTCAATTAAAGAAAAAAGTTTATCGAAATTTTTTAATATGGATACTGCTCCATCTAAGTTAAGTTCTTCTCTGCATACTAAAAATTAAGAAATAAAACTATTAAAATTTTAATAGTTCATTTAAAAATTAAAATAAAATTCCTTACATTTCAAAGCCGATTTAAATTGTTTCTTTTCCAATATATTTTCAACTCTGTACTCAGTACTTGACGGAGTGCGTAATTTATTTCTGTCAGTATAAATAAAAAAATCTTTTATGATCATTTTTCAACAACTTAATAATTTTAAAATATTAGATTAATATTTATAATTTTTTTCTAAAAAATTTATTTTGAAAATTTACTCGATTCTGACTCGTATACAAGCCAATTCATTAGAACAATGCTTTTTCGATTCAGTCGTATGTTAAAAATTAACAAACAAAAAAAAAAAAATACAAACTTCATATATTTAACCGCCAATGTTAAGACTACAATCAAATGATAGTAAGATTGATAATGATAAAACTTAGAATATTGTATACAAATATATATTACTTTTGCTGTTTTATATTTGACTTGTATTTTTTTTCAACAGATATATAATAAAACATTTTATTTTTTATTATTCTATATTTTTTATACATTATATATTGGTAAAATTGTTGGTCTTATCATTTTGGTAATGGTTTACTATCAATATTTATGTGTTTGACTATCACACATTTGATTGAATGAAAAATTTTATTTGTAAACGAGAATATTTGATTAATTTGAATTTGCAACACATTTTCAATTTTACTATTTTTATAGATTATAAAATGTGTTAGCATAATATTAATTGACTAATGATTTTTATTTTAAAGTTTCTTTATGTTAATTAAGATACTGAAAATAGTATAAATTTTATCTTAGAGGTTTGTGGCATGTGCTTGATGATATTACCTATTATACAAACTTTTTATTTTTTCTATTTATATATAACGTGACGTGATATATTTACTGATTTTTTGTCTCTAAAAATTTTTTTTAATAAAACTATGGCAGCTATTAAGTGTGAAACAGTAGCGGATCATTCAGCATTAATGGAGAAATATCGATCAGATATTACTATGCTTGCAGATCCAAATGTTGAAGACGAACAAAAATTAAAAATTGTTCAAACACTTAATGAAAATTTTGAGGTAAAGTCTTAAACTTAATCATATATATATTTCTCTTTTTTCTAGTTTAATAAGAATAGGTGGTGTTTTTTATAATAATAACCGCTTCTTGTAAAAATTTAACTGAAAAATTATAATTTTATAAATATTTTGGTTTTTAAGTGAAATAAATACTTTCAATTACAAAATAATTATAACCTTTTTATTTTTCTTAATTAATAAAAAAATTTGGGTGTTAATGTTTTACAGATGATAGTTTCTTCATCACATTATCCAGTTTTCTTAGAACATATGATAAAAAACTTTGTTCGGATTTTAGTAGATGGCGAACCATATTTTATTGCTGAATACCACATTTTTGTAAGTAATATAATAATTGAACAAAAATGTTTGAATTATATGTGAATACTTATTTTTTCCTTAGCAAGTTCGTAAAGTGGTATTGGAAATGATTTATAGATTGCCTTGTAATGAATACTTAAAGCCATATGTTGACCGACTGGTAACATTGTGTATGAAGTTGATTGAAACTGATAATGAACAAAATGGCATCACTTGCATACGTATAATTGTTGAATTACAGAAAAATTTTAGACCTCCATATAATTCTGAAGTAATTAAAGATTTGAAATTAAAAAACTTTATTTATATAAATAGTTTGTCTCAGACCTAATTGATAACTCATAACTTTTTGTATAATTATCATTTTGTTAACATTTTTTTTAAGAATAGTTATTACCTTCTTAAATTACATTTAAAGCATATTTTTTTTATCTTTCAACACTAATAATAAGTTATCACTAATCAAAATTTCAAAGTAGTCATATTGAAGCCCTTGGTATAAATGTATTTTACCACCATATTGAAATTCTTCAAAACGAATATTTTTAATCAATTTAATTTTCCATTCTGTTTAAAATCTATAAAAAAATTTAATGCGTTAGGTTTAAGTTATAAATTTTCAAGGTTTTCTACTGTCAAGCTTAATTTTGTTATGTTTGGGTATTAATTTTTGTTAATTCACTTGTAAGAATAATTTCCGATGATGTAATCGCCCATTTTTATTAAATTTGTTTGTTTCCAAAAAAAAAATATATATAGTTACTTAAATTGGTAATTTCACTTTGCGCTGCATGTTTTAAACCATTGCCGAGTTGGGAATGTGTACCTATGCAGCAATATAAAATTCAATTTTAATTCAAGGTATAAACTTTTACAATATTTTATTATATTTTCCATGAATTAATATTATTATACATACATATTATTATAACAATAATATGTATGTATGAATCAGAACTTAAATATCTACCACATTGTGGTTTTTTTTTTTTTTTTTTAATATTAAATTATTACAAATGTTTACAGTATTTTTTCGTGGTTTATAAAATAAATTTTTGAAAAAAAACGGGATGGGGTGGTAAAATGTATTTTTTTTTTCAATTTTAAGACAAATACTTATTGAGTTAAAATACATATATTTTAATACATAAAGTTGTTATGTAGCATGGCTGGAGTATACAAACTTCAGTATAAACTATATCCATCCCCAATACTACCCACTCTGTGTATTAAAATGTTTCTAACTCATCATTTTCATTAACCCATCAAAATTATTTTTTAAACATATTCTTAAAAAATAATTTTGTAAAAATTTAAAATATAATTTTTTTATTAGTAATAAATAAAAAAAATATGATTTTAACATAGTCTTAAATGCAAAAATTATTGGAAAAAAACATGATAGCAAACATTTTAATTGTATCAAAAGTTATTAGATTTGTCAGTTCTGTTGTATATATATATTTGATGTTAAATATTACAGATAAGTAAATTTTTACAACTTACTAAAAAAATTTATTGGGATATACCTGATAATATGGATAAAATATTTAGTATGAGAACTCAACAAAAATTACTCATCAATGACTTATCTACAGTTGATATTAGTGAGATACTGGATAATACATACTCCACAATTATTATTAACTGTGAAACTTCTGAAAGTAATGTTGATACAGTAAGTTTTTTTTTATACCTATGGATAAATAAATAAAAGTATTTGATATCAATTTATTTTTAGTATAATGTAATACCACGAAGTATTTCATCATTAAAAATATTACAAGAATTACCTATAGCAATTGTACTTATTTATCAGCTTTATAAAGATAATGTAAAACGTGAACTTAGTGAATACATACCAACTATAATTCGTATCATACCTTTGCAACCATCATTACATTATAAGTATGAAATATCTATTAAAAAGTTATTAGAAAAATAGCTAAACAATTTATTTGTTTATTTTTCAAGGGAGCATCCTAATTATAATAAAGAAATCTTAGTTGAATTAATATCAGCTCAAATAAAAGTGTTATCATACCTAGCTTTTGTTATAAAACCTTTTACTGATATTGTCACCGTCCATTCTACTCAATTAGTTGAAGGAATGATAGGAATGCTGGAATCATGTCCAATGGAAGTTACTCATCTCAGAAAAGAATTACTTATTGCTTCTAGACATATTCTAAATACTGAACTTAGAATAAGTAACTATGAGTGATAACTATTTAAAAACGACTTAATACATTTTTTCAATCTATCATTTATTAATAGAATTCATTCCATATATGGATAAATTGCTTGATGAAGATACACTCCTAGGACGTGGTTGGACAACAACTGAAAATTTAAAACCTTTAGCTTACAGCACTATTGCAGATCTTATACATCATGTTCGAGTTCACTTATCTCTTCCAACAATTGTGAAAGCTATAAACTTATTTGCAATTAATGTTCATGACCACAGTTTAACACCAAGGTGTGTTTAAAAGACATAATTATTTATTATTGTTTTTATAATTAGCTCAACATTATAACATGAACTTTAATTTAATATTTAGTATTCAACTCATGTGTTGTAAAATGCTGATGAACTTGGTTGATTGTATCAGACAAAGAAATGGAGAGGAAGTTCCTAATTTAAAGTGTACACTGGGTGAAACTGTTAGTTTTGACCTTTTAATACGCATTCTTCAAGTATATGTCCTAAAGCTGAAAGTAGTTTCAAAATTCTACATTCCTGCAATAATATCTAAAAAGTAATAATTAGCCACCTATTAATTTTAATACATTTTTAATTATTATGTTTAATGATATTTAGTTCAAATAAACAAACAGATCCATTACACATGGATATTGATAGTGAAATTATTGATGAAAATATAAAAAAAGAACCAAAAGAATTTGTGGATAGCCCTTTTGGTATAAAAATATCTGAAAAAACAAAATATGTCTATCCTTTATCACAAACAGCATTGTTTACCTTACCAGAATGTAGAACATTAGTGAAGGTTATTATATGTGGTATAAAAACAGCTGCTTGGGGTTTAGCGACTATTAAGGTATACATAAATTATTTCAAAATTTATTATGTATTTAAATGTGTTGTCATTACATGTTTGAACATCAAATATAATAAGTGATTCAAAAAATACTTAGAAATAATTAATTTTAATTTGTAGACTGCAAAGGAAGATGATTCTGGAACAACGCCTAAATTACCCATAAAGCCTCAAATAGTTAAAATTTACTCAAGTTTAGTAAAATGGTCTTTACAAGCTATGGATGTGCATATGGTTAATCCATTAAATAATCAAAACACAAATGTAAATGTTGTACGGCCACGATCAAAAGAAGAAAAAGAAGCTATGGACCATTTAAGTGGAATTGCAAGTTTTTTATTTGAAAGTTTTAAATAATGAACAACTCAACATTTTTTTTATAATTTTTAGTTTTCACTTTTGCATCCAAGTACTTTCAAAGAAATATTCTCTACAAATATTGCGTATTTTGTGGATCGCATTGAAAAAAATCATGCATTGATGTACATTAGTGAATCACTATTAAATAATAGTCTAAATACTTCAGATACATCATCTATATTTGCTACTCTACTATTAGAACATTTACTTAGTAAAATAGAAGATATGGGTAGTGGAAATTCAGAGCGAAGCAATTTATATCTGAAACTTTTTAAACAAGTATTTGATACAGTAAACCAATATTCAATAGAAAGTGAACAAACTCTTCAACCTTATTTAAATCAAATTGTTAATAGGTTAAAATTAATTATATTATAACACTGATGAACAGTATTATTATTAAATTAATTTTATATATTTTTTTTCTTTTTAGCTCAATGAAAATGGCTTTAACGGCAAAAGACCCATATTATTATTTTTTGTTATTACGTCCTCTTTTTCGTTGTATTGGTGGAGGTGCTCATGGTGTATTATATCAAGAATTTTTACCTCTTCTACCAAATTTACTTAAAAGTTTAAATAGTCTTCAATCTGGTCTTCATAAACAAGATATGAAAGACTTATTTGTAGAATTATGTCTTACTGTTCCTGTACGTTTAAGTTCATTACTCCCTCATTTACCTTTACTTATGGATCCTTTAGTTTCAGCATTAAATGGTTCACCATCACTAATTATACAAGTAAAAAATTTATTATAAGAAAAAATAGTATTAAATAAAAATTTATCTCATTTAAATTTGATTTAGGGTTTACGAACATTAGAACTCTGTGTTGATAACTTACAAACAGATTTTTTGTATGAACATATACAACCAGTTAGAGCAGATTTAATGCAAGCTCTATGGCGATCATTACATAACACAAATGATAATGTTTATCCAGTGGCATTCAGGTATTATATATATATATATGTATATATATATTAGATTCTTTTGTTCTGTTCCTATTTTAATTTATGTAAACACATTAAATTAATATATTCCATTATTTTATAAGATTTTATCTTTTAGGGTTTTAGGAAAATTTGGTGGGGGTAATCGCAAAATGATGACAGAACCTCAACGCTTGGATTACTCCCTTCATAGACAATCCAAAAAACCAGCCATTGTTGTTAATTTTATTGAACACTCTGAACCAGTCATATTTAATATTGATATGGTAAATCAATATATTTTTTTATTCCAATAACTATTTCAATAATATTTTTATTTTATTAAAAGGCCATTGAAACTGCTGCTGAATCTCTCAAATCATCTACTGATCCTTATTATCGGAAAAAATGTTGGGAAGTTATTAAATCATTTTTAGCAGCATCAGTGTTATCTAATGATGATAAAGCTGTTTTAATGAAATTTTTTTCTCATTCAAGGTAAGAATACTACTGTAAAATTTTAGCTTAAGTAAAACTTAATATTTTAATATGTGAAATTAATGTTTTGAAAATATTGTAGTTTTAAAGAAGGAAAAATAGCCAATTTTCAATCAACTGTGTACAAGTATCCTGATCCAGTAGTCAGGAATACATATGTCATGGCACTTAATGGTAAACATTATCTGACTTTGACTTGACTACTTTAAAAAAAAAATGTTTATTTAATAAATAAGTATTTTTATTCTTAGAAAGTATATCTTGATTTAATTTTTAATGAATTTCTTATATATACTAATTTATATTAAACAAATTTCTATTAAGGAATATTTGTGAGTGCAGCTGTTAAAGAACTTAGAGATACAGCTCTTGGAACATTGTTAGACATTGTAATGCGATATACTATGGTAGCAGTTTCTCAACAAGCAGGACCTATTGTAAATAGTGAAAAAAATGAAAGATGCTCATTCGGAATGGACCCTCTTGTTTTAATTGACTCGATGGCCACAGTTATGAGTTATCAAGAAAAAGAACTTTTAAAACCAGCACGATTAGCTTTAACCATAATTCTTAATACAGCAACTATAATTATGGGTTCAAAAGAAAGAGTAAAATAATTAGTCAATTATTTTGAAAAAAATAATTAATTTTTAATTTTTAACAAAAACTTTATTTTTAATATTAGGCTTGTCAGCTACCATTTATGGAGTATATGGTAGACAAATTATGTGCTTTGTGTTATGATCGCGCTTGGTATACCAAATTTGGTGGATGTTATGCTATTCAGTTTTTTTATAGTAGTATGTCTTTACAATGGGTATTTGAACATTTATATTTATTTGTCAAGGCTCAACTTTTTGTAATAATGGATTTATCGGGTGATGTATGTTTATTATAGTATATTATTCTAAATAATATATTTATTTATTGCATAAGTAATTTTTTTATTAAAATTTCAAAGATAAAAATCACCATTAAAAAAAAAATATATAATAGGTTTCAAATGGAGTTTTAGATGAAGCCAAGAAAAATTTAGAAAACATGTTAAAAAAAGCTGCATCTCCACTAGATCAAAATGCAGGTACCCAACTCCAAACATTACAAAAAAAAGCAATACATGAAGTTACTTATGAGCTAATTAGGCAAGTGACTAGTCCTAATGATTTACTTAGAAACCATGTGAGTAAATTACTTTAATTTAAGTTGTAAAAATAACTTTTTTTTGGTACTTTATAATTAAATTTAACATTTTAGTCCACTCATTTATTGGGTGTAATAGCCATTGCCCAAGGAACTTCAATAACTCAAGTAATGGAGCCTCATAAAGAAGGTTTATCAGAAATAATACCTTTAAGAAAACACCTTTTGCGTCATCAAGGATTTAAAGCACAAATTGGAATGATGGAAGGAAATACATTTTGTACATCTTTATTACCTCGCTTATTTACAATTGGTAAATTACTCATTTTTTATGTATGTATTTAATTATTTTTGGGGAGATAAACCATGCTTATAGGAAGATATAATTTTTAAAATTTAAAGTCTTCTGTAGGGATGTAAAAAAAATGAAGGTTTTTTTCCATTGTTTTTTTTTTATTTAACAACATTTTTTTATTAAATATTAAATCATGTTAAAATTTCTCATAACTTTGTTAATTAAATTTGATATAAATCATATTAAATAAATAATTAAACACATCATAGTAAAATTAATTCTTACTCATCTTCACATTGAAACTATATTTCATTAGGCCAATAATACCATATACTTTCTTAAATCACACTCTTTTGTTAGTATGGACCTAGTCACAGCACTTAAATAAAAACTACTTAATCATTTTGTTTAGTTTATAATTAAAAAATACACCAAATAATCATAAAATATTTAAATTCATCACACGTAAACGACTTTCTTAAAAATTTTAATTGAAAAATTAACAAACTATATACAATTTACCTTTTATTTGAAAATAGTGTATTTTAAATGATTCAAAACATTTTATCATTTTTTTGTATATTTGTTCAATCTTGTACCATTTTTGGATAATTTTAAACAAAAATATAAGATGGTTAATTTTTTTTTGAGGAGTACTCAATTTAATTAATCTCCCTTTCCAAAAAAAATTTTTATATAAAAATGTGTAGAATTTTCTTAGGGCGTTAATTGTAAACTGGGGCTAAGATTCCTAGCCCTCTTTCTCTGCCCCTTATGATGTTTTATACCATAAACTTACTACATAATGTATTTTAACAAATATTGGCAGTAAAATATCTAAAATTAAACATTTTATATGTTTTTTAGTCATAAATATACATTATTCATTAAACATAAAAAAAATGAATAAACAGTTTTTTTGTCAAGTTTTTTGTATCTCTAGTCATATAAATATTCACCATATTTATATACAGAGTAATTCATTTATTACAACTTACTCAATTACTTACAGAATAAAATTATATAATATCATCGTCATAAATGTTGTAATAAATTTAAATAGTTTATCTTAATATATTAGTAATATAAAAGCTCTAATTTTTTAAGTTAACTCGTTAAAATGTTTCTAAATTGAATATAGAATTATTTGATCTAATCCAAACTCTTTAAACAGTAACTAGAACTTAAGATTCAGTTATTTTTATGTCATCATCAACAGAAATTTTTAATCTAAATCTTAGTCCTCAAGTCTCTATAAAAATATTTATATTAATTTAATTTAATTGTTTGTTTAGACTTAAGTATCAAAGAACACAACTTGTTTTACCATGAAGTATCTAATTTATGTGAAGCTAGTGATTCTGCCATGTCAAAATTACCAGGTTATAAGACAATGAATCCAGGTCAAATGTTATTATTACGACAAGCTGGAATGCGAGCTCTTGCTGCTTGTTATTACATTCCTCAACCAGAAGTGAAAAGTAGAATATTTCATGCTTTATATGCGGCTTTGGATAAAAATAATTCTGATTTACAAGAGACTGCTTTTCAATGCTTACGTAAATTTGTTTCAACATCACAAATTGATATGCCAATGGTAAGAAAATTTTAACTAAAAAAGTAAAACATATATTTAAAAGATATAATAACATATTGGGTATGCCGCATAATTTAGAACAAGTATAAATGATATCAGAAATAATGATTAAAATCACTATCAGAGATATGCTCAAAGTATGATAGTAAGGCACATTGTTGTGAGATTATAAATACAAAAACTGACAATACTAAAAGCATATCTTCTGTAAGCAAAGAATAATGACAACATTAAAAAAACAATTGATTACATGTATTTTAAATCTCTCATATTATACATGTATATTAACTCAAAATTTTAAAGTTTTATATCTAATAAACAAATAAAGTTATGTTAAAAAGTCAAATGCCATTTACTATTAAAAAAAACCCAACCTCGTATATTGTAAAAAATTCAAATTATGTGTTCTCATTAAAAAGAAACATAGTTGTCACCCTTACAAAGAAATGAACTTAAAAATTATAACATAACTAATAATTCAAGAATAATGTGTAACTAAAGAAAACCAAAAAAAAAAATATATATATCAAAATTATTTTTAATCTGTTAGTAATTTGAGGGGCTTATGATAAAAAAATCACCTTGTATATTTTTACTGTGAGTTCTGTATATATTTGTGTGCTACTTATTACATACTCTATAGAGTAGAAATATGTTTTTGACTTTATTTTATTAAGTAAAATTAATTATCAGTTAGAATATTTAGTTTTCCTATATTTTTATTAACTCTACAAATATATTTTATTCAATTTAAGTCCTAGCTTTTTTATAGCAACTTTATTTTTAATGCATTTGTTTCTTATTATATTTGGTTTATTTTGAAAAAAAAAATAGGTTCATGAGTTAATGAAAAAACAATTAGGTGATTTAGGAGATTACAGAAATTTAACATTAAGTGGCACTCGCCGTCTTTGGTACTTAGTTCAATTATTTCCTACAAGTTTCAGTGATATGTTTTGTACACATTTAATGGAAATAATGAAAAAAATGTTTGAAGTTCTGATTCAAATGAAAAAAGGTAACTTGTATTTTTCAATATTTATATGATATTTTATTTATTTTGTGTATTTTTTAAGGAATTTCTAAAACTGGTAATTATGAATCAATTATGGTTATAATTATTGAAATGTATAAGCAATTACCAGTAGCTAATTACCGACACATTGAGTCTCTTTGCCGTTTAGTTTTGGATAGTGAAAAAAGTCTTCAAGTATGCATAACATCTCCTTTTCATGTACCATTACTAGGTTGCTTACTGAAGTATCCAACTCAAGTTGTTCAACTATTTTTACAAGATACTCATATCAAAGTAAGTTTAATAAAAACAGGCACATAATTTAAATAACTAAATTTTATACAGTAAACAGATCTACTAACAATTATTATAACTTTTGACTCAATAATCATTTTAATTCAAAATAATTTTTAATAAAAAAAAAATTAAAAACAACATTTTTAGCTGTTTTATTACAAAAAATGTTGATAAGTCAATAACAATTTTAGGGTAAGTACTCTTAAAGTTACAAGTATTTTAATACATAGAGGGGTTATGTAGCATGGTTAGAGTATACGAACATCAGTATGAACTACATCTATCCTCATTACTACCCTTTCTGTGTATTAAAATGCTTCTAACTCATTAAGAACTTGTAATTAAATTATATTGACCCATCAAAATTAGATTACTTTCAGTTACATATTGATTTTTAATTATTAGCTATGTATTTTAATTCAGAAAGTCAAAACTTTTATATATTTTGTTTTATATCTAATAAAATGATGAATTTATGTTAAACACTTAAGTACCATTTACTATTAAAATAAAACCTCAAATATTTTATTGAATTCAAAATATGTTTCCATTTGATAAAACAAACTTGAGTCCTTTAAAAAGCATCAGAAATGAACTTAAAAAGTATAACATAACTATTAATTCAATATATAATATGTAACTAAAGGTAACTGAAAAAAAATATATCAAAATCATTTTTAATCTGTTAGAAATTGAATAGTTTATGATAAAAAAATCACTGTGTATATATTATTATTATTAATAGGAACCTCATTGGGTTAAATATTTGCATATGATGATAGCTGATGAAAAATGTCAATCAATTAGGGAAGCACTTCAAGATAGTGGACGTAGACTTAATGAATTGATCAATATTTCCCATACAGGTTAATTTTAATAGTTCATTGATTAAAACTAAAAATTATATTAAGTGAAGAAATAATCATTGGTTAATTATAATTATTTAATAGATCAAACTAAAGTTATTGAGTATGAAACTATTAAGATAATTCATACTCTAGTCAAACTGGATAAATTTTGGATATCCAATCAAACAGATTTAATTATTTCACTATCAGAGCTATGGGCTTCTGACAGTTATCAAGTAAAAATATTATCAAAACCTTCCTTTTTTTGTTTTACCATTGTATTTTTTTAAATTAAGGAATACTTCTTGAATCCTGGTTATCTTGAATTTGATCATTGGAATGAACCTAAATTACTAGCCAAAATTTTACTCCAATATTTCATTCATAATCCAAATCAAGTAGATTTACTATTTCATTTGATAAAAGCATTTTGCTTTAGATTTATTTCTGATTTTCAAGTAAGTAGAAATATTTTTTTATTAATACTTATATAAGGTAACTACTTCTAATTTCAATCTTGATGATTTTTTTTTAGTTTTTACGTGTTTACTTAGAAGAAACAGTTGCAAAAACTTTTTCATCTACATGGAAACGAACAGCATTTTTCCGTTTTGTAGAAATATTTCAAGATAATACAATGAATAATCACTTCAAATCAAAGATTTTACAATATGTTATTCTACCTTCTGTGTCTGCTAGTTATGAAAAAAATGAACAACAAACTCTTATACATGGTACATCAGATCCAGCTGATACTTCAGGAAATGTAGTAACTTCATATATATTACAGGTGAATTACAAATTTTTATATATTCTAAATAAAAATATATAAATCAGACTTTGTTAATATTACTGTATACTGATATGTATATATATTTATTTAGTTGATTGTACATGAAGTACCATCTGGAATTGGTGAAGATAGTATACGCATACATTTATTACAACTAGGATGTATGTTAGTTAATGATTTTCCAGTTAATAAAGAAAGTTCTCTTATTTCTGATGGATTATGTGAAAATTTAAAAAGAGTAATGAGCTATGCTTGGCCTTGTCTATTGGAAAAATCTTGTGTTGATCCAACTGCTCGTTACAGTGGACATCTTCTACTTTCATATATTGTAGCATCTTACAATGTCAATAGTCGTATAATTCTACAAGGTAAAAGAAATATATTGAGTTAATTTTTCTATCAATGATTCTAATTTATAGTTATATTTTAGTATTTCATGAGCTTTTAAAAGCATATCATGTTGAAGTGCGAAATGTAGTCAGACAAGCTTTGGATTTAATTACTCCTGCATTATCTATTCGTATGAACAATGGTAATAAAATGTTATGCCAATGTACTAAAAAAATAATTGTCGAAGAAGCCCATTTGATGCAACAACTATTTCATGTATTACACTTAGTAGTTCGACATTATAAAGTATGTGGCAATTAATTTAAACATCATAATTTAAAAAATAGTATTCATATTATCTTTGCTACTAATCCATTGTATTGTATTATATATCTTTTTGAATATCTAGGTGTACTACCCCATTAGACATCGGTTGATTCAGCATATGCTTTCTGCAATGCAAAGACTTGGATTTATGTCATCCGCTACATTTGAACACAAAAAGTTAGCTGTAGAAATGGCTGAAGTTATTATAAAATGGGAATTGCAAAGAATTCAAAATGAAAATAATACTTTAGAAGTAATTAACTATATCTTATTTAAAATAACACATTTTAAAATGTCTTTAGTTTCTCAGCTGGACATCAAGCTATCGGTCTTAACAAAAGTTTATTAATATGTTTATAATAAGTTTGTTGTGGCCTAATTGTTATATTTTTTGATACAATGCTCTAAATAGCAGAATCTAATTCTTAATCATGTCTCTTTTTTTCATCTCGTTTACCACACACTTTCAAGAATTATTTTTCATTTCCTAGTAGTATTATCAATAATAAATTTCAGAACTGGTAGTCATATAATATTTTAAGTACTAAAGTTCAAAAAAAAATTGTTTTATGGCATAATTAAGTATAATGTTTTTACTAGTAATTTTTGCTCTGTTATTTTTATTTATATATTGTATGAAGTAATTTTATAATTTTTTTTAAGAATTCAATGGAAGAAGGTGTTAAAAAAATTAAACTAGAACCTTCTTTATCATTAACATCAGATGACATAGATAAAGAAATGCCAATAAGCAAAAATGATTTGGGAATTGTTTTCAATTTCTTAGCTAAAATTGCTTGTCAAGTAAGTTTATAATATAAATATTTTAAAATATGTGCAAGTTTTTTGTCAGGGTTCATTAATACAACTTTTCAACATTAAATTTAAAGATTTGAAGACTTATACAATGAATTTTGAAAATTAAATTATCAAATAAAACTATAATGTAAAAATAAAATAAAATACCCTTCATTTGCAATTAATTTACTTAAATTATTTTGATATATACATAATTTGCTTTAATATGAAAAAATATTCTATTTAAGAAAGTAACTAGTTTATAACTTTTAAACTAATGTCATGAATGTTGTCAGCATTAATAATTATTTAAATTATTGTCTAATTTTAAAGCAAATTTATTATGTATGTCACCATTTGATAAAATAAAAATAAATAATAGTATATGAAATGAGAAAAAAAATTATACTTTTTATTTGTTTTTAAATTTTTTATCTAATTAAGAATATTACTCTATATGCAAGTTATTTTATGTATTGGAAAGAAAGAAGCAATGTTATTATGGCTGGATGGAATGTAATTAAATTTTTTACAAAGATATTACTCATTCCTGATAGAGTTATACAAGTTACCAAATATTAGTATTTTTATTTTAATTTAATAGGTAAACGATGGTGTTGTTGGGGGTATGGCTGAGCTTTTATCAAAACGTTGTGTTTCATTATTAAGAACAGCTTTAAAATCAGAAGCTATTATGAACAGATGTATTGATATGATAAAATTAGGGTGGATGGAAAAAGTATTTTGTGCTGTTTCAAATTTAGAACCAGTTGTTAACAATCCAGCTACTGCTGTTTCTGTTGCAAACATAGCATCAGCATTTGATCTTTTAACTTTTTTTTTAACAACTTTACCTAAAGAACAACTATTGAGCACTTTTAAACCTCTACAGAAATCATTATTTGAATGCATTAGTACTACCAATATGAAAGTAAGAATAAAAATTAATTCTTAAAACCATTTTCATAGTTTTATTAAATTTAGATTGGCAGAATGGCTCATGCATTTCTTACACGTTTGATATATAATTTTCCCATGGTTAAACCATACCACAGTGAACTTGAAGAGTTATATGTTTTAATTAATGTGGTATGTTATTTTTATTGATCATATATATATATATATATATATTACACTAATTCATGTAATTCTATTTTTGATTTTTAGCTAATCGATGAAAGTTTAAACAATTTTGAAAAAAATATTTCCCAAAATTACAATCGTTTTTTGACCTGTGTCATTATGTTAAAAGCAGCTAGTGCGAACAATACTATATTTATAGATGGTTTATCTTCTCGTTTTGTACACGTGTTGCAAAAAGTGTGCCGTGAACAACCACAAACCACAAACACTGAATCATCTATGGGAATAAGCGAATTGATCATTCAAAGTTTAGATTTAATGAAAAATAGAGTTAGTAACATGCATATAGATACTCGAAAAACTTTTATTGGTACTATTCTAGTCGGTTTAATTGAAAAAACTAATGATGCAAGAATAATGAAAACAATTTTAAAGGTGAGTATTACCAACTATTTTAATTATAGAAAAATTTGTTTTAAAAAAAAAATTTTCATGGCTGCTTTAATTAAAATAAAAACATTGTTAATTTTTGAAATGTGTAATATTTAAAAAAATTTCTTTAGATGCTAGAAGAATGGATGCATACACCTCCTAATGAAGGACCCAATTTACGAGAAAAATCTATTCTTTTAGTTAAAATTATGCAACACATTGAAAAAAAATTTCCAGATTTAAATTCTCAGTATCTAGACATAATTATATTCATTTATAAGTAAGAGCAATTTCACATTAAAAAAAAGTAACTGAACTAGTTTTAAACTAAAATAAACAAACAAGTTAAAAGGATTCTGTAGACAAACTTTACAGTATCCTAAACTCATCATTAATTTGTAGTTTATTTTTATTTAACATTAGTTATATATATATATAATTTATCATTAAAAAGAAAATTAGATTCTAATAAAATAATGAAAGTTACCAATTTTTTTAACTTATTATATAATGAAACATTGAAAAATTAGCCAATGTTGAGAAAATTATATATGAAGATATTTACCGGAACTTGTTACCTATTTGTAAGAACGCCTTAAATTTTTGTGTATTCTCGGATCCCCAACTAAGCAAAGTTATGTGATAACTGAAACTAGAATAAGAACAAAACAAGTACTATGGTGATATTTTTTAATAATTTTGGTTAAATTTGATATGAATTTTCTATTAAATGATATTTAGTTTTTGAATATTTTTAAAACTGGTTTTCAATTCATATTTTTTATAATTCATTCGTGTATTTTAATTGTTATTAGATTTCTCTTTTATTTTATTTTACCATCAATCTTGAAATTTTTTACGGGTTTAGTTTCAAATCTGTCTTTTAAATATGTTTTCCTATCCATGATCTCAAATATATTTTATCTCATTAAATATATAATTTATGATAATAATAATAAGTAAAATTATACCAATTTTATTTTATAATAATTAATTTTTTATAAATATAAAACTATTAAAAAATACATTTATAGTGATGAAGAATTAAGAAATTCTGAACTTGGACACAAATTAGAAGCTGCATATTTAAGTGGTTTACGTTGTTCACTACCTGCAGTTCGTGAAAAATTTTTTGATTTGCTTAATCAGCAAATAAATTCAAGATTACCAGAAAGATTGTTGTACATAGTAAGCTCTCAAAATTGGGAACCCATGATGACACATTATTGGATAAAGCAGTGTATTGAACTTATTTTGGCCACAGTTGATCCAAGTAAATAAAATAAAAAACAAATTTAAAAATAATATTATATATTTATCGAATTTTATTTAGTAAAATAATCATTTTAATTTGTAGTCTTTAATAATTGTTACTCTTTATGTGTATACTTTTAGATGTTTAATTTAGTTTTAACCAGAGAGTATAACATAGATCTATAAGAATAAATTAATTGTTAATATATTTTAAAAATAAATTAACTCTTAAGATTATTGAACTTATTTTCCTCTAATAAACTGAAGTATACTTTTCTTTCAGATCTACCTGTAATATTAAAAGACCATAATTCTGCAACATCATCAAAGCTTCCAACAATTAGAGAATTAATAAATAATTGTGATGCATCATTTAAAGATGAAATTTTAAACACTAATGAAGACACACCTGTTAAATCAGAATATGCTATGGATACTGATCAAATAATGACTGAAAATATTGAAGTTATAGAAGGTGGTAAATTAGAGCCCTTGATTACCAGACACATTAAGTTCATGGATAATTTAAAAACTACGAAACTTGGTGATATTTGTTCAGCTATTTCTCAGTTATGTCATATGGATTCAAGTTTAGCTGAAAAAATTTGGCTTGTTTTATTTCCTGCTATATGGACATCTTTAAATTCTACGCAAAAAACTGTAATGTATAAAAGAATATTTTTTTAATTTCAAAATATTTATTTGAGTTATTTTTTTAGATACTTCTCCCAGAAATCAATCAATTTATTGTTAGTGGTATACATGTAGTCCAAAGAGATGTCCATCCAAGTGTAATTTCTACATTTTTTGAAGCTCTATTTCAATGTGAACCTAAAATCAATTTTAAACCCAGTGTTATGATGTATATTGGAAAATCTCATAATTTATGGCATAGAGTTACTTTATCTTTGGAAAAAATGATGATTGATAATAACTTTGAGATATCTAAACAAGATTGTTATGAGTTTGAACCAGAAATTTCTCCTCAAAGGGTAAATATGAATAAAAATAAATTCATATTTTTAATCCACATTTCAAATCACATATTAATTACAATTAAAGGATGCAATCGATACATTAGCTGAAATGTACAAACAACTTAAAGAAGAAGATATGTGGGCTGGGTTATGGCAAAAACATGCTCAATATCGAGAAACTAAAGTGGCTCTAGCTTTAGAACAACAAGGATTGTTCGAGCAAGCATTATCTACTTATGAATCATTAATTGAAAAGTACCAAACTGAATTTACTAGCACTCATGCGTCAGTTATGGTTTTGAGTGAAGCCCGTTTATGGGAATCGCAATGGATTAGGTAAGTAAAGTTTTCCATGTTCATAAAATTTAACAAAATTTATCATTATTAAATTGTTTACAATATCTTATTATTTATGAACTTTTAATTTTTTTATAGATGTTCAAAAGAATTGAACCAATGGGATATTTTATTAGAGTACTCAAAGCTTAATGGCCATCTAAATCCATTTTTAATTTTAGATAGTGCTTGGAGAATACCTGATTGGCATGTTATGAGTGAGGCATTAAGTTGTGTAGATAATACATGCCCAAAAGAATTTTTATGGAAGGTTATTTTAAAATAATGTTTTTATATTGTTTGTTTGTAACCAATGGAACAACCATAGAAAGAGGGAAGGGAGTTATAACTACCCCTAAAATGACTAAATATTCCTGATATTTATTATTATGTTAAACCTATTATTAAGTAGAAGACTTTTTTGCTTAGACTGAAAATTTTAGGCAAATTTATGAAATAAAAATTCATAAAAAGTCCTAGTTGAACTATTATTTAAAACAATAAAACAACTAAAAAAAAACTATGACTTTACAAAAAATATGCTAAACAATTTATTCAATGATATGATATTAAGTGTATTAGAATTGTTTTTTTAATTTTGTCAGTATGGTTACTTACAAACAAAATTAACATTAATTTTTAAACACTGATTAAACATTAATATATTTTTATTAGATGTACTTGTATAGAGGATTTTTGGCTATTTGTCATCCTGATGAACCAAATTTACCTTATGTTGTTAGAAATGTAGAAATGGCTAGTATACATGTAATAAGAGAATGGAGGCGTTTACCTTATATTGTATCACACATTCATTTGCCTTATCTTCAAGCAGCACAACAGGTAAATATATTTAAATTTTTCATCACATTAACAATTTTAATTAAGTATCAACCTTTGACACAATACCATGTTTCTCTCATCCGCACATCTTATTAAGAACCAAAACAAAAGTACAGTGGCTTAGTTGTAAGGTTATCTCTATGATGCTTTGGGTTACAGGATCAAATCCTGAAACTGCACTTTTTTTCACATGATTTTCGATACAATTTTGCTGAATGGCCGACAGTTCTGATGGCCATATCAACTTCATACATCCTTAAAACATTTTGTTTCCCTCTTAAATACTTATACTCCTTAATTTTAAGTGGTAATTATATCTTCAATTAAAAATAAGCAATACTAGTTATTTTCTAAATTTGTATTCTATTATGATATCAATAATAGTGTCATTTTATTAGATAGTAGAAGACTCAAATTTTCAATTAATAAAGTATTTTATTTTTTCTAACTGTGCCCTTAGGGGAAAATATATTACCAGCTGAAAGCCTTATGTGTGTAAAAAGTTACTATTTGATATAATAACCTCATATATGTTTAATTATACGAGGTAATAAATAATTATTTAAAATAATAATTATTTAAAAAGCTATTTATTAATCATTTTTAGGGGTCGCGAAATAATTGGATTTGTTTATTTTGAATTCTTCTATTTTACATAAAAATAAAAAAATTATTATTATTTTTCAAAACAATAAAGTAACATGAGGTAAATTTAGCTAAAATATATATTATCTAGTATATTTTTTTATCAAATTAAATATATTTAGAGAAATTTTTTAATAAATAGCTTGAAATAATTTTTTAACAAACATATATTAGTTTCTTTTGATAACTTTTTAAAGCCATAATTATTATTAAGTTATAAATTTATTGTGACCCTTAGAAATATTTAAGTCCTCAATATTTTGTGGTGCCTTAGTGTATAAATATTGCATTACACTGAGCTATGTAGGTTTTCTTGTTTTCTTGTCCCCTTTAACACAAGCAAAGCATTTCCGATAAGATGTTAAAAATTATAATAATAATTTAATATGTAATATATTTTTAAGAAATAGGTTAATATAAATTAAACAGAAATACTAGTTTTCATTTTCAAATAAAAATTACAAACTTTTATTCATAAAAACAATTTTTTTACAAAATTTAAATGTAAGTCTTTTAGAATTATTTACTACAAAATTGATTATTAATAACATTATCTATTTAGTAAAATAAATTTTAAATGTTAGAATATATTTCCTACTTTGACTATATACTAACTAATATCTTCGTATATAATGGTAATTTTTCATATTTTATTAAAATGTATGTGACTGAATTCACACCATCTGTTTTAAACCGTTTAGGTCCATTTCGTAGATAGGTCATTCTATTTTCATTTGGAGTCTCTTTACTGTGTGTGAGCATTGTATACCTTGAAATGTCTAATTCATATCTACAAACTCTATAACCATCATAATATACTCTGTTAAATATATCATCATCTTCACCACCCCATCCATAAAATACATTAGAAAATCCATTTATATCTTTATATTGCTTGCGAGTGAGAGCAATTGCTCCACCAAATATAGTATAATAAGGTAAAGTATAATTGAATATGTTAATGCTAGAACTCATATGACGAGGACAAGATGTACAACCATAAATATTATTAATATTTTCTGGTAATAAATCAACATCATGAAAGATAAAACAACCAGCTGATGAATGTTTTATTACTTCATGAAATCCAACATTAAATAATTTCCCACGATTGAACTCTGTATCAAATGTTTGTTCTACTACAAATATTTCATAATGCAAATTTTGTTTTTGTAAAAATGAATGTATATGATATAAAAATATTTTTAACTGTTCAGTTCGGTTTCGATAGCATACTATTATAGCAGTATGATGTTGTGATATACAATCTTTTGGAAACCATTCTCCACCAAATGATACATTTTTTGTTATTTCATTTAATTGAATTTCACTTACTTTTTCATGAATACGTTCCAGTTTTTGATGTTTTGTTATTTTTGCTATAGGACAAAATCTTTTACTTAGGGACTCATTTTGATCAATATTTGTTTTTAACAAATATTTTGGAATATCATTTGAACTTATGTGTATTATTGTAGGATTGAATATGTTAAAAATAACAATGCCAATAATTAATAAAAAACATAATATACTTATTTTTAATAACCAATGAATAAATAATTTTCTTTTGAGGAAAAGTAAGAAAATATTCATTATCACATGTTTCAATTATTTTAGTTATATATTTATTATAATCACGCTATATTAAAATTAGAATTAACAATTTTATTTTGAAATAATTATTTTACCATTTAATCATGTAAAAAAATTATTTATCTGATACCAATGCCAAATTTTGACACTCGACTGAAGTGCATATGTACTTCATATCAGTATAGAATTTAGTGCTAATTTCAAAATTATATACTTGAGATAAATGCAGATTTCATGAAAATAATTTGGTTTTCTTTTAAAAAAAATTACTACCAACTAAAACTTCTTTTAAAGTGTTAACTCAATAAATTTAAAAAAAAATAAAAGAATCGGTAACTGATAAGAATATTTTAAGAGCCTTTGAAATATTAGTTCTAAAATAATACCAACTTAGGATATTCAACACTACCAACTTGATTAACTTTTATAAAAAAATATTCGCAGGTACACAGCATTTATTATCTATGGTAGTAAGACACATTGTTGTGAGTTTATAAATAGTATAACTGTCAATACAGAAAGTATATCTAATGATAGTCATAATTGACAATAAACACCAGTGTCTGTGACAGGGTTGTCATAAAAACCAATTAGCTACCTGTATTTGTGATCCCTTTTGTATTATAAATGTATATTAACTCAAAAATTTGAAACTTTAAATGTTTATATCTAATAAACAAATAAAGTTATATTAAACATTCAAATTCCATTTACTATTAAATTAAAAAATCAAACATTTCATTAAATTCAAAGTATGTGTTCCCATTTAATAAATATAATTTTAAAAAAACACGCTTTTAAAGGACATCGAACTAAAAAGTTAAAAATAATTTTTAAAATAAGCTTAAAACAATAATGAACGAAAAATACTAGTATTATTGTGATAAAAGCGTCGGGCGTTCAATATACGAAAAATATGGCACAAAGCACCCACACTTTTATCACAATAATACTAGTATTTTTCGTTCATTATTGTTTTAAGCTTATTTTAAAAATTATTTTAAACTTTTTAGTTCGATGTGCTTTAAAAGCGTGTTTTTTTAAACTATATTTATTTTTTACTTTTTAGTTTCATGTTATGATAGTAATTACTATCAATATCATGGTTGTAACGGGTAACGGGAAAACAGGGTTCGATTTCGGGGAGGGAGTCTGAGAAACGGCTACCACATCCAAGGAAAGCAGCAGGCGCGTAAATTACCCACTCATGGAACATGGAAGTAGTGACGAAAAATGACGATACGGGAATCATCCTTTGTAATCTGAATGAATACACTCTACGGACTTACTGAACATTCTGTATATCTCATAATGAGAATAAAGCGTGTTAATATACAGGGTGTTCAGTAAGTCAGGAAACGGGTTTCTATTGTTCTCATTGTTTGTAACAATGAGAACAATAGAAACCCGTTTCCTGACTTACTGAACACCCTGTATGTAAGGCGCATTACACACGGGCGGTATTGGTCAGTCAAAATAAAAATTTGTTTATATATATACAGGGTGTTCAGTAAGTTAGGAAACAGTTAAATTGTTACAAACAATGAGTACAATAGAAATTCGTTTCCTTATTTACTGAACACTCTGTATAATTGATGACAGGCACGCGTGTACGGGTATGCAAACCAAAAATATAAAATTATACAAGATAAGTGTGTCGGAGAGTGGTGAGCGGGGTGGGGTGAATGCGTTACGACGTCTAGTCTAGACGACAGGTACGCAAAAATAATAACACGTGCTGCGTGGAAAGTTTAAACACACATCACACGTCACACGTACAAGTGAAACTAATATAAGCGTCTTAAAAAAACAAAGTTGACACCCTTACAAGGCATTAGGGATGAACTTAAAAAGTATTACATAGTTAATAATTCAAGAATAATGTGTAACTAAAGATAACCAAAAAAAAAATGTTTAAATTATATTCATTCTGTGAGTAATTGAGTGAGTTATAATAAAAAATCATTCTGTATAGGGAACTAAGAGAAGCAATGCATGTGTATTTGTAGTTAAAACAATAAAAGTTGTAGATATTAATTATAGGCTAACTGATTTACAGTAATAAAAATAGTATTTTACAAATAACTCATTATTCAAAACAATTTATAAATGTTAAAATAATATTGTAGTAAATAGCTGAATAAAGTCGATATACACATTGGCAACTGTTACAGTAGTAGGCAATTTTTGAATTATCAAGCAATACAATAGTGTCATACAAAAGGGAAATTCAGGGTAAGCAAATTAATAATGGTGGGAAAAAGAATATAAAAGGGAAACATGAAAAGGATAGTGGTCGAAGAAACGTCGAGTTACGGGTGAGGATGTTTGACGCGAGTAACTTTATTTTTGTACGATTTAATTTGTTTCGTGTTACATTTTTATATTACATTATAACTTTTTGTTTATTACGTTTCTTAAATAAAATAGCTATTTAAAAACCTGCACTTAGCGTAAATATTTTATATCCTGTTAAAATTGTGCGTGTGCAGCAAGAGTCGAGGTTGGACTGTTGGTCCTTTAGTCAATTTTAATAATTAGTGTGCGTGCTGGCTAGTTTTTGGGCTTAACCGTCCTTTAGTAAGTATAGTGAAAAGGTATTTGTGCTGGTGGCTGACGAGGAGCCACCCTTCAGTCTGTTACTTTTCCTGACGGATCTAAACTTTACCCCTTTAGTAGTTCACTAATTTGAGGGATTGGAAATGCCCAGTATATCCAACGGAAGGACTCGAGAAGAACTAAAAACGACAAACTCGACTTCAAAGAACATTTGTTAATTTGTGTACGACTTTTTGTGTCTACGTCGTGGCACTATCGATGTACGACAATATATACCACTCAGTATCAATTAAACTTGTTTTTACTTACCCTTTTTTTAATTTTGTAATTATTATTGTGTCACATACAAATCCAAACATTTTTCACAGGTCATACCTAGGGAGTTCAACAACAAAAAAGGGCTAAAGTTTCTACCCCTTCCCATCTCTTTGTTTTTATTTACAAAATATTATATTTATTATAATACAATTATAAATTGTATCGATTTACCTCCTTTATATCATCTACTCTCGATTTTTATTTTATTTTAATTGTGTCTATAAAGAACAGAGAATAAATACTTGAATTTGCAAATTTTGCAGGTAATGCCCGGATACTAAGAAACTATTATAAACAAACCTATAGTCTATTACTAGTTAAAGTTACTTTATTATTAATAATGTTTATACTAACCATTTAGATTATGGAATTACATGAAGCATATCAAATTCATCAAGGACTACAAGAAAAAGACACTAATAACTCTTTACATAATATGAAAGCAATTTTAAAAACATGGAAAAATCGCTTACCAGTTGTAGCAGATGATTTAAGCCATTGGAGTGATGTTTTTGTATGGCGTCAACACCATTATCAATTTGTTATTGAATATTGTTCAAGGCCAGAACAGTCAACAAATGCAGTTTTAGGAGTTCATGCTTCTGCTCAAGTAGATAATTTTATATTAATTCATAAAAACTTTTAATAATTATTATAATTTATGTTTCAGGCTATAATTCATTTTGGTAAAGTGAGTCGTAAGCATAATTTAACTGGAGTTTGCTTACAGACACTTTCTCGTCTGTACACCATACCTAATGTTCCTGTAGTGGACTGTTTCCATAAAATTAGACAACAAGTTAAATGCTATATGCAAATGGCTTCTATTTCATCAAATAAACATGAAATACAAGATGTATATTTTCATTGAACCTTATTGATTATGATTTTGTTAATGACTAATATAAATTAATTTTGCCATAGTGTTTAGAAGCTATTGAGAGGACCAATTTAAAATTCTTTCAGAGTGAAATGACTGCTGAATTTTATGCATTGAAAGGCATGTTACTTGGGCAAATTGGTAATTGTGTTATTAAAAATGTATTCTTAGTATTAAATCATCCATGGTATGAACATTTTCTAAAATACATATCTTAATAAAAATAAAATATTTTAACATTTTTTAAGATAATATTTTCTATATGCTTTCTATAAGATTAAAAATATCTCAGCAATTCTATCTTATTATGAGTAAAATATAGAATATCAACTAAAATAATTTTTTTTTCTATTAATAAACAATTAAAACTATATCAATAGAGCCAGCTTGTTATAATTATCCAATATTACCCTTCTCTACTCCATAGACCTTATATAAGTGTGATAATTTAATTTATTGCACAAAGAATATCTATATTATAATATTATATAAATTATAATAATTTACACTTACAATATAAAGTAATTTTTGCTATTTGTGTTATTATATTTTGTATAATAGTTATTACAAAGTTTTACATTGAACCTTATAATATAATGAACCATTGAAAAATTTGCTAATGCTGGTAAAATTACATAACAATCTCTGATTTTGAACAAATTTTTTTAAAATAAAAGAGCTTGTTGACATTATTTTAGGAAAATTATTTGTGAAGATTTTTTTTTCTTTGCACTCTATACGCATAGTTTTTATTTTGACATCATTTTTTGTGTGCGCATTGAAATTTTGTTTATATTTTGTGTTATGTTAACAAAATATTACACAGTATTAGAAATTGTATTATAATGATTGTAAAATTTTCTTATGCATATCTGTTGTGGCAATTAATAATTATATATTACTTATTTAGCATAATTTTGAATATGCTCTTAAATTAATTTTTTTATTTTTAGCACCAAATGTCAAATGTATACTTATTATATTTTAATATTGACTCTTTTTGAATTTTACTCATTTTAATAATGAAATGTACTTTATTTTATTTATACTGATTCGGAAGTAATAATTTTTGTGTAAATCACTTAAAGTACTTGGCATATGCGGGTACTCCTACCAGATTCTGTAATCTAATCTTAAGAAAATCCCAAAGCTAAATGAAACCAAGGAACTAATAATTTTGTTACTATATATATTAATACATTTTAGGTAAATCTGAAGAAGCTCATAAGGCTTTTTCTGCAGCAGTTCAATTACATGATTCAATGGTGAAAGCATGGGCTTTGTGGGGCGAATACATGGAAGAATATTTTACAAAGAGTTATCCTAATCAAACAATGCAAACAGGTGTAGCAGCAATTATATGTTTCCTTCAAGCATGTCGACAGCAAAACGAATCAAAATATCGAAAATACTTGGCCAAAGTTTTATGGTTGCTAACTTATGATGATAAAGAATATTCTTTATTAAGTACAGTTGATACACATTTCAGTGGTGTTCCACCTGCATTATGGTTGCCTTGGGTACCACAGTTATTAACTACATTAGCTAGTGATGGTGGATCTCTCTTACAAAATTTATTAATTCAAGTATGTATAAAAAGTTTGATCCATAGAAAAAACCCAAAGGTATCCTGCAATGTAAAATATTTATGCTGTTTAAGTATATTTTTCCATTAAAATTCTATAAAATACTAAATTTTAAAGTTGTTAAAAAAAAACTGAACATCACATCATAATTAGTTTAATACTTTATCAACTAACTATAACTTGCAGGTTGGAAGATTATATCCACAAGCTGTATATTTTCCTACAAGAACATTATATTTTACTCATAAAATTGAATATAGGGAGCGATGCAGAAATTCAGAATTGTTAGCAGCTGCTAACAAACAAGCCCAAATGAATGAATCTGTGGGCCCAAGTAATAAAATAAATAAAATAAATTTTATATTTTATATTTTATAAATCTACCAAATTATTAAATATTAGGTTCTTCTACTTCTCAAAATACTGGTCTAACTGATTCATCTTTAAGAGCTACTCCAGCTATGGTTAGATTTTCAAAGGTGATGCATCAACAGCGCGAAGTTCATCCAACAATTGTTTTAACATTAGAAGGCATTGTTGATCAGGTAAATAAAAATACATATTTAAATATTGTTTTTAATTAATATTTTTATACATATTGTTATTATTACAAATTTTCAACTATACATGCAATTTTGATGTTATAGATGGTGTGGTTTAGAGAAAATTGGTATGAAGAAGTTTTGAGACAACTTCGATTAGGTTTAGCCAAATGTTATAACATAGCTTTTGATAGCCGTGGCTCTGTTGCTGATGCACAAATAACCCCTCACACCTTAAACTTTATCAAGAAACTGGTGTCAACTTTTGGAATAGGAATAGGTAAATTAATTGATCTCCAATAAAAATATTAAGAAAGAAACGATTAACGCTACACTTATACTCCCTCTTATATGTTCATTTCTTATCCTATCTTCTCTAGTCACTCCACTCATCCATCAAGCATTCTCATCTCTGCTACACTCATTCTCTGCTCTACTTTCTTATCAACCGCCCAACTTTCCGAACCATACATCATAGCTGATCTCACTACAGTCTTGTAGAATTTACCTTTCAGCTTCATTGGAATTATTTTATCGCATAAGACACCAGACACTTCTCAACCACCCACACTTAATCACGTGTCTTATATCCTCATCAATACCACTACTCTTTTGCACATCTGATCCTAAATACTTAAAATTCTCCACCTCTCCAATCAAGTCCTCGCCTATTGTCCCTGACCTATTCATTTCACCTATCTCGTGCTCTCCTTTGTCAAACTCGTACTCTATATACTCTGTCTTACTCCTACTTATTCTTAAACCCGTTTCTTCAAGAGCTAATCTCCACACATCTAGCCTTTGATTAATTTCCTCCCTATTTTCTCCTATTAACTCTATATCGTCAGCAAACAACATGCACCATGGCACCTCTCCTTGTATTTCTCTAGTAATTTCATCCATCACTATAGAGAATAAGTCAGGGGCTTAAAGCAGAACCTTGCTGCACTCCTACTCTTACCCGAAAACCTTCTGATACTCCTCCTGCGCTATTTACCCTGGTACAAGTGCCATCATACATATCTTCTATTATATTAATGTACCTTTTCAGGACTGATGAAGTGTAGATGATAAGGACATCCTCATCATCTACACTCACATCAGCCCTCCTCATATCGCATTAAATAACACCCCTCCATCTCTTTTTCTATCCTTTTCTTTCTACTTCCTCCCTATTTTCTCCTATTAACACTGTATCAACAACAGGCATCATGGTACCTCTCCTTGTATTTCTCTAGTAATTTCATCCATCACTATAGAGAATAAGTAAGGGCTTAAGACAGAACCATGGTGCACTCTTACCCTTACCCTAAAACCTTCTGTTACTCCTCTTGCATTTTTTACCCTAGTACAAATGTTACTAATGAGGATATGTTATCATACATATCCTCTATTATATTAAAGTACCTTTTCAGGACTCCTTTTCTCATTAATGCCCACTTTAAAACCTCTCTCGGTTCTCTGTCATACGCTTTCTTCAAATCTATAAATATCATACACAGCTTTTTCTTTTTTTTCCCTAAACTTTTCTATTAGTTGCCTCACACAAAATACTCCATTGTTGACTTACCAGGTATAAATCCAAACTGGTTTTTAGATACCGATGTCTCATTTCTTATTCTTTTATCTATTACTGTTTCTCAAATTTTCATACTATGACTCATAAGCTTTATGCCTCTATAATTTCCACACTCCTGTATGTCTCCTTTACCTTTAAATATCGGCACCACAATACTTTTCCTCCTTTCATTTGGTATTTTCCCTTCTAATAAGATTTTATTTAAAAGTTCCTTCAACCACCTTATGCCAACACCGCCTAATATTTTCCATACTTCTACTGGCACTTCATCTGGTCCCACTGCTTTATTCTTTTTCATTGATGCCACAGTCTCCGATACCTCTTTCTCACTAATTAATTCTACCAGTCCCTCATTCCACGAGATATATTCTAATGTATCTTTTGGATACGTCTCATTCAGTAATTTTTCAAAATACTCTTTCCACCTTTTTTTCACATCATCATCATTTGAGAGTATCCTATTATCAACACTTTTTATATACCTTATATAATGATAATCTTTAGTCCTTTTCTCTCTTACTTTTGCAAGTCTATAGAATTATTTCTCGCCTTCCTTTGTTCCTAGCCTATCATACCTCTTTAACTTCGCCCTACATACTACACTCTTGGCTTCTTTGCACAAGCATTTATACTCCATCCAATCTTCTCTCCTTTTGCTCTTCTGCTATACTTTGAATTGCTTTTTCTTACTTTCTATGATTTTTTTTAACATTCTCATCCCACTACCAGGTTTCCTTGTTTCCTGGCATTCTTCTCATACTCTCACCAACAATCTTCTTTGCAGTATTTTTTACACAACTAGCAAATCTATTTCACACATCATTTATGTTTCCCTCGACATTCCACACCGTCCTCTCTTTTACCATCTTTACAAACTTTTTCATTTTCCCCTTTTAATTTTCATCACTAGATTTTCAATTTTTCTCCCATGTTCCTTTTATTTTTCTATATTCTCATTCCGGTACACCAAAACTCCATTACCATCAGTCTATGCTGTATAGTTATACTCTCTCCTGGTAACTATAACTTTACAATCCTTTACTCGCTTTACGCACTTTCTCTTCCACATAAAATAATCAATCTGTGATATATTACCCCCACTCTTATAAGTTATATAATGTTCTTCCCGCTTTCTAAAATAAATATTAACTACAGCAATATCATGCGATACTGTGAAATTCAGGATTCTTTCTCCAGCCTCATTCTTCGCACTAAAACCATACCCTCCATGGACTCTGTCATATCCTCTCCTATCATTACCTACATGTCCATTCATATCTCCACCTACCTATCACCGCATCCTAATTACCATCATATGAAACTTTTATTATATATTTTTGTATATAAAATTTGGTAGCAATGGTGGTAAGTACCTCAATCCTTTTTTAAAATTTAAAAAAACTAAAAAACATTGAAAATATTTTTATTTTTTGTAATATTTATTTTTTGCTTAACAAACTTTATTTGTAAGTATTATGTCTTTAAATTATATAAAAATTACGTAAACCGGATGTTGGATCTTTTATTATAATAAGTTCAATGATTATAATTATTAATTTAAAATATTGAAAGAACAATTTATACATTCTTGAACGTTACTTTATTAAACTTTTTTAATAAATTTCCTCATCATTTATTCATATAGAGTTATTAGCAAATAATATGGCAGCTAACAGTGCAGCAATATCAACTAAAGGTTCATTTCCTGGTTCTGGCTCTGAAAGTTTAGCAAAAAGAGCTCAAACAACAATACAAGATCCTGTGTTCCAGAAAATGAAACAACAATTTTCAATTGATTTTGATTTTACTTTACCTGGTGCAATGAAATTACATAATATGATATTGAAAATGAAGAAATGGATAAAAATTTTAGAAACAAAAATAAGATTGTTACCAAAGTATGAATATTATTTCAAAAAAATGATTTTATTATATTCAGTGTTATTTAATATTATTTATTATTGATAGATCATTTTTAATTGAAGAAAAATGTAGATTTCTGAGTAACTTTAGTCTTCAAACTGCTGAAATAGAAATACCTGGAGAATTTTTACTCCCAAAAGTAATTGAAATTTTATATCATATGCAAATATTTATCTTAATTTTAAAACATTCTACTAATATTTGATGTAGCATTCACATTATTATGTGAAAATAGCACGCTTTATGCCACGGGTTCAAATTGTTGAAAAACATAACACTTCTGCTAGAAGATTAGTTATGCGAGGACATAATGGTAAACTTTATTCCTATCTAGTAATGCATGATGCAGGATTAGGTGACACAAGACGAGAAGAACGAGTTTTACAATTATTAAGAATGTTAAACCATTATTTAACAAAACAAAAAGTAAGTAAATAAATTTTAATAAAGATATAATTTCCAAGTGGAAATTTTTACTAAAATTAACAGTTGACTTCACTTTATAGGAAACTTCTCGGCGATTTTTATATTATACTGTTCCTAGAGTAGTTGCTGTATCACCACAACAACGACTTGTAGAAGATAATCCATCATCTTTATCACTGTTGGATATTTTTAAATCAATGAGTATTTCTCAGCCTTATGATGACTGTATTGAACATTATTACCAGCGTTTGGCAAACATACAAGTAATTTATGAATATTTTTAAACATATTTAATTAAATATTTTGTTCCGTGAGTTAATTATAAGAACAATAAAGAGGAAAACTCCTAATTTAAAAACTTACGTATAAATTAGATAATTTTTTAAGAAAACAATATTTATTCTTCAAATTATACTATTATTATTAACTTAAAAAATTATTTTTCAGATTCAAGGAACTCATGCAAACATTCAAATGCTTTTAGATGTATTTTTAGAGGTACAAAAAAATTATTGTCCAAGTGACACATTAAAAAATTGGGCATCATTGACATATGCTTCCCCAACTGATTATTGGACTTTCAGAAAAATGGTAAAACTTTAATAGAAATTAGTTTTAAAAATTTTAACTCAAAAAAATATTTTTTTTTTCTCATTTTGTTATTACTAAATTATTGGATAAAGTAATTTATAGTAGTTGAGTAATTTATCGCCTTTAATGTACTTATGTTTCTTTTTACATTTAGCTTACACTTCAGCTATCATTATCCTGCTTAGCAGAATATGTTTTACATCTAACCAGACTTAACCCAGATATGATGTATATTCATCAGGACTCTGGTTTATTAAATGCTTCATATTTCAAATTTGATGTTGATGATAAAAAAGGTATTAATACGTAAAATTTAAGAAAAATGTTTATTATTTAAACATTTTTAATTTTAATAATGTGAACTTATTTACAAATAATATTATATTTCTTATACATACTTTATTATATACTAACACATGAAAATGTCTAAAATAATAGCTTTAATAATTTATCTTTTATTGAAATTTATTATAGAAACTTAAGTATATTTTTAAAAAAAATTAGTCAATTTTAATTTAGGTGAATTAGTGTCAAATCGACCAGTACCTTTCCGGTTAACGCCTAATTTTGTTGAACTAATGACTGATATTGGTAAAAATGGTCCTCTTACTGCAAGTATAATGGCAACAGCAAGATGTTTTAACCAACCCAATAACAAAGTTCAAGCAATTCTTAGAGCCATTTTAAGAGATGAAATGATTACATCTTATAAAAAAGTATTTTTTTTTTTTTTTCATGAAATAATAATATCAAACAAAAGTTTTAATTAATATACCTTTAAATTATAGAAATTAGAAGATGAATTATCGACCAATAGGGATGATATATCTGGAGACATTATAATTAGCATGGTTACAAAAGCAGTTAACTCAATTATGCACAGATTAAATAGCTTAGCCAACTTTGATGGCTCTGACAATAAAGTTAGCACTATTGTTAGTGCAGCTTCATCAGTAGAAAATTTGTGTAGAATGGATCCAGCTTGGTATCCTTGGTTGTAAAGTGTATTTAATTTTTAATTCAAAACTTGATCTCTTAAAATTTGTTTAATTCACTGTATTTTATTAAACAAAAACTAAAATTAATTTTTTTCATTTTAATACCTAATACAATTTGAAAATATGAGAACACTTTTATATTTTAAAATAAACATGATGTATATATGTAAACAATATTATTTTATAACCATATTTATTTTGTTTACTATTTTTTACTGTAAGTAAATTAACTTTTTATGTATTCATTTAAATATTATACATACTTAATCAAATTTACTCTTATATTCACTTACAATCTTTCCAAAAATGTATTTTAAGATTGAAGATCAATGACATTATATAATTGATAATATAAGTTTTAAACTTAAGTTGTAATGTTATTATAAATATATGAGTATTTCAAAAGATATAAATCATTTATTATACATTTTCTATAAAAGTTTACATTTAATTATTTTTCCTTTTTTACAAATGTTGTTTTTTTTTAAACCATAGGCCTTCTTTTGAGGGATGTAAAATGAGTTTTTCCTTAATTAAATGGTTAAGAACTAACTTCAAAAGAAATAATAAAAAATGGTTCAATGTATAAATTTTAATAACAAATTCTTGGACATGTTAATTAGATTATATTAATATACTCAAATACTAAATTACATAATTTTAAAACACAAGTGACTTAAATTATTTTTAAACTAAAATAAAAAAACTAAAGTTACATTTAGTATGAATTGTACTAATTTTGTGTTTTCATTGTTATACTCATAATTGATTAGACTTTAAAGTTTAAACCATAATGGTACAATGTAAACTAATAGTAAATTCCATAAGGACATGATTTTTTATTTCAGGTAATGTTATTGTTTTCGCGAAAGTTAATGATATATTTTAGCTCTAAAACAAAACTGATAATGTAATTATTTATATAATCTATGATATTGTCGTATTGTGCTTAAAAACATTAGACTGTACCTCTTTATATTATTAGTAAAAAGTTGAAAGTATATAAAGAACAAAGAAAACTACAAATAAAGGCGTCATTTTTTTTTATAATATACTAAATATCATTTTAATGGAAGTCAATATAATGCGTTTTAATTGCATCATGAAATTTATAGTTAAGTTTGAACTAAACGTTAACATAATTGCTTCTAAAAACAATTTTTTTTTTATATATAATTACATAATTATATATTTTATTAACGATGTTATATGATAGGTCATAAATATTATTTTAAAATAAAGTTGCTTTATTGCTCAATTGAAAAAGTGTAATTCATGCAACATTTTATTAGATACAAGTTTTTTAACCTACTTCTATGACTATGTTTTAGTTATCAGATGACCCTAATTTTATATAACTCTTAATATAAAATCTAATGAGAAGTTTGTTTAAAAAAATAGATGTATTCAAACAGAATCAAACTGGATTTAGTTTAATTTTATTTCATCAATATAGCGAAACTTTAATTTTTAAACTACGAACATTATATGAAAGATGATCGTCGATTTTTCAGTAGATTACGAAAATTAGGTACAACACCAGTAATGTAAAGGTGTATTTCTCCAAACTATAATAATAATATTCATTTATAAAAAAAAGTCATGAAATTTTAAAGTGGTATTTTCTTTGAATAATGTGAAGTGCAAAACGAAAAATAACGCTCCTAATATAAACGTCCGTAATTTAATTGAATAAGTAATACATTTCTCAAAATATTAAAAAACACTAACAGTAATATTTATTTTAGCCTATAATTGCTTACTTAGATATATTTTTAAGTTTATATTTAACCTTTAATATTCGTATGTAAACTATGATTATTTTAATTTGCTTTAGGTTTTGAAAGGGATTAATATTCAAAAATAATTTATTGACTTATGACAATAAAAATGTAGGTTGGTTGTTTTGAAATTACTTAATTGCCAATTACAGTACTTTATTTAGATTAAGTGAACTATTTAGGTAATATAGATATGGTAATAGTACTGGTATGACTTTTGTCATATCTCTAGTAACTTAAATTATAAGATAAATAATTTTTGATATAACATGTTTCCATAATGTTAAATTAATNATTTCAATATTTACACAATTTAATTATTATATAACATGTTTCCATAATGTTAAATTAATAAATCTAAATGAAATATTAGTTATTGTCAATTAAATGAATGCATATATTTTAAAGTATTGTAATATTCATGAGTCTCACTACATAGGAATATGGGTATGGTTAATTGTCTAGGGGCGTTTTTTTTAAAGAGGTATTTAAAGGTGACATTATCAATTATTTAAGTGAGAAAGGTGGTAGGATAAATTTTTTATTCCCCTGTGTATTCATAAAGATTTTCAAATTATAAGAATAAACATTATTTTTATTGTGAAATATCATGAACAATAGTATTTTAGGAATATACACATGTAATCAATGATTTTAAGTTAACAAGAATTTTGTCTTCACAATAGCAAAGTTCTCTTGATTGGGATTTTTTATTTCATAAGGGATCAAACATAAGAAATTTTTTTTATTACCTCTTTCCAAATTATCATAATCACCATATTTTCACCAAGGAGAAAAGTTATTATTGAATCACACCCCATAACAATGCTCATGCCTCACAGATGATTTATAAAATATAAATAATTAATAGCAAGACTAAAAAGAACAAAAAGAAAAAAATATTCATGTTAAAGATCTAATACCTTCTTTAATAATAAAATAACCAATAATTCATAAAATACATAACACAAGTAGCATAATAGAAATACTTTTTTCACAGATATTAGGCATGTTAATAATATAGCATAAGTGATCAAAAATAAATATTTTTTTTTTATTTTGAAAGAACATTCAGTCTTTATAAATAAATAGCAATAATCAATATAAAAACCTGCACCTAATTGTAAAATTACAAAAAATGGGCTAAAATAACAAAAATATAAATTAACTCCACCACACCATCAATTTAAAGACTTAATATAATATATTTATTAGCAGGAAATTAATTAAATAATTATAATAAATAATAAATAGATGTGAATTGTTCATTAAAATAAGATTTAAAAAATAAAATAGTGTAAATTTCATAACACTAACGATTAAATAAATTCTTTAATTACTATTTGCAACATAAATTTAATTTAATCCTTAAATTTTCAGCCAATTTGTTAATGAATTCGAAAGTATTAAGATAATCAGATCTTTGAACATTATTCATGCCTTTGATACAAATAGCTAAATCTTTAGTCATAAAACCAGCCTCAATAGTTTCAATGCAAACCAATTCCAATTTGTTGGCAAAATCTTTTAATCGTTGATTATTATCTAATTCAGCTCTATGCAACAATCCTCGAGTCCAAGCAAAAATTGATGCAATTGGATTAGTTGAAGTCTCTTTACCTTGTTGATGCATTCTATAATGTCTAGTTACAGTACCATGAGCTGCTTCAGACTCAACTGTTTTACCATCAGGACAAATTAAAACAGATGTCATCAGACCTAAAGATCCATAACCTTGAGCAATTGAATCTGATTGAACATCACCATCGTAATTTTTACAGGCCCATACAAAACCGCCTTCTGATTTCATTGCATATGCTACCATGTCATCAATTAATCGATGTTCATACCAAATGCCCTTAGCTTCAAAAAGTGATTTGTATTGTGTATCATAAATTTCTTGGAAAATATCTTTGAAACGACCATCATACTTCTTTAATATGGTATTTTTTGTACTTAAATACATAGGTAGTCCTCTAGACAACGAAAATTTAAATGATGAATGTGCAAAATCTATAATAGATACATCAGTGTTAAACATTCCTAATGCTACTCCAGCACTCTTAAAATCATTGACGATATGTTCCAGTTTATCACCACCTTAAAAATAATAGAAAATAGTATTATAAAAATTTTTACTATCTAAATATTAATAAAGTTAAGTAATACTTTTGAAAATATTTACCATCGTTAGAAGTCCATGTAAGTGTAAGTTTTCCAGCTCCAGGTACAATAAAGTCTGTTGCTTTATATTGATCAGCGTGTGCATGACGGCCAATGATAATTGGTTTTTCCCATCCAGTTACAAGTCTTGGAATATTTTTACAAATAATAGCTTCTCTAAACACTGTACCACCCAGGACATTCCTTATGGTTCCATTGGGACTCTTCCACATTTTCTTCAAATTAAATTCTTCCACACGTTTTTCATCTGGAGTTATTGTAGCACATTTGATACCAACATTATATTTTTTGATAGCTTCGGCACAATCCAATGTAACTTGATCATCAGTCTTGTCTCTATTTTCCATTCCCAAATCGTATACATGCAATTCTATATCCAAGAATGGCAGTATAAGTTTATCTTTAATTAAATCCCAAATAATGCGGGTCATTTCATCACCAAGGATATCTACAACAGGTCCAGCAGGAATTTTGGCCATATTCGTTTCAATTTTAAATTGACAATAAATAATTCGTTAAAAAATAAAAGAAAGTGTACGTTTGTGGTGTTTAATAAATAATAACTGGCGATAAATTAATAAATATAATTATATATGAGATATAGTAATTAATTAGATAAAATTTAAGCAGAAATATTGACTAACACACACTGATTACGTGGACTACGAACTGTGAAAACGGACTAAGACAATTAATGAAATTCTATCTCGCATACCTATAGATATGTATATTATATAAATTTAATTAAATCGATTTAAAAATTACTATCGAAATGTAACTATCGAACTAATCGATAGTAGTTTTACAATTTCATTATAATAAACTATTAAAACACATTAATAATAGGTTATCTTCGGTCAATTGAATAGCCTTCTGAATGTTTTATTTTAGTGAAAAGGTATTTTAATGATATTAAATTACATTATAATAATCGATAATCAAATGGTTACCAAGTTCACTAACGTTTGAAAAGAAAAAAATATGATTGAATAATAAACAATATTTGCTACGATATGCCTAACTATAACTACAGTTTCATGAATGACGCAAAAACTTTCCATGTAATTTATAAATTAATTTTTCGTCTTCAAATATATTTAATTGCTTACATTTTTTTTTACGGGAAAAACAATTAATAAAATAGAATAAGAAATCATTAATTTTACTAAAGAATTAGTTGACATGTCCACATATTTAATAAAACTAGAATTATTGGTTTTGGTAAACAAAATTATTGAAAAATTTCCATCCGAAGTGTAGAAATATAATAAAACAATTAGTCAAATTATTTATTTATAATAGAACTAGCTGTAATTAATTTATAGATGAAATGGAAACTTTTATGTTATAAAATAGTATTTTTAAAATAAACGTGTAAAATTTATTACTTTTACCTATTTATTAATATAATTTATGTTACAATTAATAAAGTACTCAAAATAAATTTGATAGAAATTATATTTTATTTTATTAAAATATTATTAAGTATTTGGGAAAGGTGTTTAGATTATCCTTCTTTAAATATGATTATATAAAATTCATTTTTATATAATAGGTGTTCTATCTAATTGAATAAATACTTAAATACCGACAATAAATATATGTGTATGGTAATTCGTGCATTAATTATTATGAGGTATGAAACCAATATTACATAAATTAATGCAGGACAATATTTATCAACCATTGTGGCTTAAATATTTACCACGTAACACTTCTTTAAATAACTTATACACTTTCCAACATAATTCTAATATCTTTGGTAATTTCTATTTGAACAATAAAATAAATATTCAATTATCAATCCCCTCTTTCTTAATGGTATCTTGATTTTAAGAATTTTATTATGAGGATTAGTTGTTAAAATTTGTATGATATAAAACTTCATATTTTATCACATGACTATTATTGAGTAATTCACTCTTTGGAGACGGTATGGTAAAATCTAAAATTTTATTAAATTTAGAAGCTTAAATATCTTATGGATATAAAAATACAGATAAAATGTTGTAATTGTTATTTATTCTGTTTAATAATTAATGCTTATCCAAATTAGATTTGAAAAATTTTCTTAAAACTCCTATTATCATTTGATTGAGGTACAAGATACCAGGAACTATCTCAACAGTTAAAATGATTGCATTAATACATATTAATTAATAAAAATTAATTATTTATAAACTTTAATTCTTAATCCTAGTAATATATTATGATGTGTATTTGAATAATTTTTTGTTTCGATCAGTCAAATCAGCTTTAAAGTATATATATATAAATTTAGGATTGTACTATCAATATAAAATGATATCTTCTGAATTTACGTGACTATGCCAAATGTTATTAAAGAATATTAAAGAACATATCGAATGATAAATAGTTTCTGGAAGTAATGTAATGTAATTATTAGAAAAGGAAGTTTTCTCGTTAAATACACGTCCCTTAACTGATAGAAAAAAATTACCTATTTAAATTTAAAAAATATAACCAAAGATATTTTGTGTTAAGAAATTGTTATTTATTCGCATTTCATTGATAACAAACTAAAACAGTGATGTAGTTTATTTTTGTATTTGGACTTATTTTTCCTATGGTTGGAGTAACTGTTTAATTATAAATGGCGTCCAAGTGATTAATTTTTATTTTGTAATAATTTATTATTATTATTATTATTATTACATTATCGGTCCCTCATAAACTAATAGTCTTTAACTAGTTGGCTAAGTTTTTGAAATATTACAAATATGTCCTAGTATACAGAATAATTATATTTCCATTAAATTAATATCTCTATTATAATGTAATATTTAAATATAAAAACTCATTAAGTTATATAAAGATAAAAAAAGTGTATCAAAACAATCAGGTAATGTTATGAGAATATTAATTTTTAATGGTTACATTAATGTGTGATCAATTATTGCAATTGTCTTGTTCGTTTTCTAAATCTTTTTAAATTGTAAGCTGTTTGATGCAATTTTGTTATCATTAAGTAAATAGTGTTTTATATACTATAGTTATTTGATGCTTGTATTTTTATATAATGTACAAAAAATAAAAAGATGTTTTTTATATTATAGAAATAATTTTTATTTTTATGACTGTATAATATAGATAAAAATATCAGACATAATCAATATAATTTATTTTATTATTTAAAATTAAAATTAATTACTGAAACCATATACCAGATACAAATTTTCTTAACTTATTATTGTAACAAGATATATTTAAATTTAACTCAAAATATGGTTTTTAACACAATTCTTTCAATTCAAATAGCTAAATTGTTATCAAATTTCTCAAAAATTAACATACCTATATAATATTAATGTTAGTGTGCATCAAATTATTTTCATTTTCCACAATTCATTCAAATTACAGCAATTAATTTTAATAATTATGTTAAATGTTTTTAATTATAAAATTATAAATTATAAATTATAAACACTGAATATATATATATATATATTTTATATAGTTTTATTTTTACATATTAATTGTACAATATTTGTGTATTTTTTCTAGGATATCTGTAAATTTTTATTAACCCCTTTATTATGATATAGTAAAGTGGAATCTATAAAAATCCGAATGTACCATGGGCTCGACTCAAGGAGAGATTAGAGTTGGGCCTTCACATCAGGTAATAAAAATGTATTTTAGTTTTTATGGTTTTTGATATCATGAATAATGATATATTTTATTCATAATTTGAATATTTATTTTTTCATAAAATATTAATTAATTCTATTATTTTTCTAATCATGTTCAATTTATTGAATAATTGCATATAAATTTGATTTTAAATCTATTTATACATTTACTTTTCTATTTTATAGGATTACTTATAAAACTTATTAATTGTAACATTTATAATATTTGTTAAAAATATAAAGTTTTCTCAAATATTTATATAGTTTTTCTGTAAAATATTAGTTTAAATATGTTTAAAAATACTTGTATAAATATACCTTGCTGACTAAAAGATTGGGAACTTATGGTTTGGATTTAAAAAAAAATTATATTTTAAATAGTTTTACTTTGAAAAATATATTTTTTGCTCATAATGACAGAATAAAACTTTCCTAGGTTACATGATATAGAATTTAAATCAGTTTGTTTTTATAATTTTGCCGAAATTTAAGTTTATATTCTATTATAAATTTATCGTGCTGCTTAGGTTTTAAAAGTTTTATTAAATAGTGTGCATTCAACAGTAAAAAAACTGGGAATCCTTACAATTATTCATCAATCTCTTTATTTGTACCTGTAAACAAAATAGGCGGTTGACAGCTCTTGAAATCAATGCTAACATCAACAAAACTCAAAAAAAGTTTGTATCACTATCAACTGTGAAATGAAGATTAAACTATTGGATTCAAACAATCTGTTGTAGTAAAAAAACCTTTGCTATGAAAAAAAAAAATGATTTCAATGGATTAAAAATTATTAACTGGATGATGGATCACTAAAAAAATGTGCTCTGAAGTGATGAATCGAATTATAAAATATTTGACTCTCAAATATAGAATGTATAATTTATGTCAGAAGAAGTACATTTGAAAAAATTATATCACAAATTTAGTATCTATTGAATTATATAAAGGAGGTAGCTCAGTAATGATGTGGGGTCATTTTTCTGGCCACAAAACCAGAAATTTAGTGAAAATTGATTAAATAACGAAGAAAGAACAATATAAATTTTTGTAATTTTACTGTTTTTAATAAGTAGATAAATAAATTCAGAAAAATTCCCTTATACATCACTAATACCTATTATTTTAACAATGTTCCCAAACTTTTGACTGGCAAAATTAGTACTTATATTATTTCTTTTAATCAGTAATTAAATAAATCCAGAATTAACTATTTATAAATTAACATACCTAAATAATAATTATTATTCATGTATGTTAATTTAAATATTTTAAATATGCCTTTGAGACTTCATTAGTCTCTTAAATTTATTTTAAAAATCTCTATTATTACAGTTTCAAAGTTTTTTTTAATTCTTCTAATGTAAATGAACTATTATTTTAAGGCAAAATTACCAGATTTTCGGATAGCTGGTCCAGGTACAAATGGAGTAATTGGAGAAGATCGTGAAGAAGCTCGTTGGGTTTCAGGTACTGTAAGAGATAGAGATTTATTAGTGTATTTACGAGCTGCCCGTTCAATGGCTGCCTATGCTGGTATGTGTGATGGAGGATCAGCCGATGAAGGATGTATAGCTGCATCTCGCGATGATACCACAATTAATGCATTTCATATTGTACGTAAAATTTTATTTAAATAATAATTTTTGTAAAATGTCATTCTTATTTTCACTTAAATAGTAACATATAACTTCTATAATATTAAATAAATTTAGATATGCATACTTGATAAAATAGTCCACATTAATTCAAAATACTACTGGTTATATGAATAAAATCATTACATCTAATAATATCAATATTATATTACCAATTATTTCATAAATTTGAATGAGAACTTATTGTTTTTTCATTAAATAGTTGTTATCTTTTATTTATGTGTTTAGTTCAACATTATGTCAGTTATTATAATAAAATGTTTTTTTTAAACTATTTAGCTGCATGATTCGGGTTATGATCCAGGAAAAGCTTTACAAGCTCTAGTAAAATGTCCAATGCCTAAAGGAATAGATAAAAAATGGTCTGAAGAAGAAACGGTAATTATGATTATATAATATTTCTTTATTTATTAAAAAATTTAATTTTTGTTAAAATTTCAAATTTTTTCTATAATTTAACCTATTTTAAAAACAAACAATGACATTATAACATTTCTTTTAACCATTTTGAAAATAAGTTTCTAAATCCTATTTTATAAAGTATACATTTAAAGTAAAAATCTAACTTAATAACTAAGTTCCTTAGTTATTATTAAAAATCATAAAAGTGTTATCTCAGTAGAGATATTTTAGTAAAATCAAATAGTGTTAAGTTTTTACAGATCACTGTTAGCATTTTCAATAACAATTTAAATACTTTTTTGTAACATTGTAGAAAAAGTTTGTTAAAGGATTGAGACAATATGGTAAAAATTTTCATAGAATCAGGAAAGATTTATTACCTCATAAAGATACTGTAAGTTTTATTATTTTTATACTAAAATACCCATATTTTATTAATTTTTAATATTTGTGTTTAGCCGGAATTAGTAGAGTATTATTATTTATGGAAGAAAACACCAGGTGCAAATAATAATAGACCACATAGAAGAAGGAGACAAGGATCTGTAAGACGAATCAGAGCTACTAGAGCGACTAGACCATCAAGTGCCCAAAAAGATGATACTAGTAAGTCTTATATATTTGTTAAGATTAAATATTCAAATATAATTTTATGAATTGGAAGTCTTATTACTTTTTTTGATATTTTTTAACTACTTATATGAGTACAACTAAAAATAAAAGTGGGAATACTATTTAGTTTAATTAATCTCTTGATATTATTCTTAGGTTCATTTTTTCTATGTAACATAAGAGAGCTATTCAAATTTTTCGGAAGTAGGCGATTTTAAGTATTAATAATTAGCTGTTTAATAAAAATTATAAGTATATACAATATATAAAATTATAAATACTGATAGCTAATTGGTTTTTTATGTTCACTATTCACAGATATATAATATTTATTGTCAATTAAGACTTTATCAATAGATATATTAAAATATGGATGGTAGTAAGACATATTGTTGTGAATTTATAAATATACCAACTGGCAATACAGAAAGCATATATCTATTGGCAATAATTAATTGACAATAAATACTCTGTATCTACAAATAGTGATAACATAAAAAATCAATTAGCTACCTGTATTTGTAATTTTATACGAGTATATTAATTCAAAATGTTGAACAATTTAAATTTTAAATCTAATAAAAGAATAAAATTATGTTAAAAATTCAAATACTATTTACTATTAAAATAAGAACTTAAACATTTTATTAAATACATAATATATATTCTCATTTGAAATACAAAGTGGACACACTTACAAGGCATAAGGGACTAACTTCAAGTGTTATATAACTAGTAATTCAAGAATCATGTGTAACTAAAGGTAATAAAAATAATTATATTATTTTTATTCTGCAAGTAATTAAGTGGGTATCATAAAAATTTTACTCTTTGTATATGGAATTTTGTAAATACAATTACTATTTATTGAATTTTTTTTAGGCTCGGGTTCTCGTCCCTCTCCCATTTCAAAAGAACCAGGTTTGTATTCTATAATTTTTAAAGCTATAATGAATCTTTTTGATATCATATTTTTATAATTAAAACTTAAATTATGTGCTCAACAATAATTGTTTTATCATTAGGTGATGGAAGTTCTGGTGTTAGTGAGGATGATGGTGGAAATACTGAAGATGATTCTGATTCAAGAGATAACACTACCTTATTTAGATGCCATCATTGTTTTGCAACCAGTAAGCTAAAAACATTTAAGTAAGCTAAAAATTTTTCATGTGCTCATTGTTATAATCAGGTACTAGAGATTGGCAAAATGCTGCAATTGGACCAAAACAAGGAAATTTGTTATGTTTTGAGTGTCGCAGCTATAATAAGAAGTATGGTGAATTACCACCTATGCCACAGTCACCAGCTGAGTGTCCTAGTCCTGCAACTTCTGATATCACTGTTACAGCTGATTCACCTAGTAGAATGCGTACTCGTAATAAATCTAAAGAAACTGTAATAATTTATTATTCAATTTCAAAATGTTAAATTGTATATTCAATGTATTTTTTCTTTTATAATGTAGCCAACTAAAAGTACTCAAGGTCGATCAAAACGTAGTAGAGCAAACACACCTGAAACAATTCAAGATAATGAAAAAAAAGAAACAACAATAGAAGTCTCATCTTTAATAGAAAAAAATAAACCAAAAGTATATTTTTATAGTTAAAATAAATATATAAAATTATTTTGAAAAGTGACAACATAATTTCATTTTCCCTAATATGCACTCACTGCTAACTTTACTAGAAATGTAGTGTAATATAAATTACATTTGTAGTCTTCTTTTTCCTCACCTTAAATTTATGGTATAGATAAAAAGTATAATTATTGAAGAAACTTTTTTTTTTTTTATTCAAATTTATATTAAAAATTTTATCGTTATGTAAATCTTTTTAGTATTTATAAATATTTCATTCTGACACTTAATAAAAATGTACATAAGCACTAAAAATTAAAATTGATAATTTCTACCACAAACTGGGTGAAAATACTGAGTAATTTCTACCAATAAGTGATGCTTAAAATATAAATATATATTAAATTATTTTAATAAATAAATTAAAATGTTTTAGATTAGTCTTAACGAAACACCTAAAAAGAGATCATTGGATACCGATGGTGAAGAAGAGAGTCCAATGAAACGAGAGTCAAATAATTCGGAAAGTACTAGTTCAGATGGATATTCTGGTAATGATGATGACACTCAACTTGCTACTGTTGCCTCCAGTGAATCAACCAATCAAGAAACTGAAGTATCGGAATCTATGCAAATTGAGCATGCAGCAGATTCTAATTTCTCTTCTGATATTATTCCTAAAGAAGAGCCAATGCAAGATCATAATACTGAATTTCAACCTGTTGAAGACATTGCTGTAACTTCTGTTGACAATAATATTGATATTGTAGAAAGTGTTAATGTTAAAAATGAAACTAGTGAAGAGCCCATGAATGTAGATGTTCCTGAAGAATCTCAACAGTCTATTCCATCTATTGACGAAATTGAAAAAGAATCAGGAGAAAAAAATACGTATAGTTCACAAAATCCTCAATTAAGCTCTGAAAATGCTGCAGTTTCTTCAGATCCAAATACAGAAGTTAAAATTGAATCGTGTGCAACTACTACTACTTCCGAAGAATCTTCTCAAGTAGCAGTAGAACATCAAGAAGATGTTCCAACATCACCTATTGCGTTAACATCTTATTCTCCTAGAAGATCTGAGGCAGCTAAATCACCCATTCTAAATCAATCACAAATACTTGTACCAACTTACCAACCACAATTTAATGACTCAGATAGAGTTGGAGATAAACAAGCATTAAATGTACCTCCATTGCCTACTCCTGTTACACAATCTTTCAACACTCCATTTTACCCTTATAATAATCCAATTGCAGACAAATTCCATACACCTGTGTATGAACCACAATTAGAACCTCAAAATTTAAAAATTAAACAAGAGGTGGCTGATCCATTGCAATCATTAAAAGAAGTTAAAGTTCCTGGTTATAATGGTCCTGGAGCAGTTTCTCAACCACTACAAGCTACAAATTCTGCTATTTCAGTTAATACAGATTTGGCCAATATGTCAGTTGAAAATATCAAGAAAGAACCCGAATTAAAATCTCCTTTGCAAGCCAAAACACACACACAAAATCCAGCTACTTCAATGTTTGCCCCCCCTTCTTCATTGCCACAACCTGTAATGCATCCATCCCAACAAATATCTCCTTTAAGTCGAATATCTCCTGCTGGTGGAGTACCACCTCATCATCCATTTGCTGCTATGCATCCACACCATCCTTTAATGCACCCCCATTCATTATTTGCTGCTGCTGCTGTTGCACATGCTGCTCTTCATAATCCTTATCATCCTCATGCACACCCAGCTTATGCTGGATATCCTCCATATGGATTCCCATATGCTCCATATCCTATTCCACCACCTACAAAACGTCCAGATGAAACTACAACAATGACTGCTCATCACCATCATTCAGTTAGTACTAGTAGCCGTTTAGATGAAGAAATAACTCATCATTCTAGTTCTACATCAGTTCAACATCATTCTAGCTCAACAGATAAACATACTTTGTCACATTCCACTACTTCTTCGTCTCAATTAGTTCAGCATAAACTTAAAAGGGGAAATAGTCCTCAATCTGGCTCAAGTCATATATCTGCTACTCTTTCTCATACAACATCTTCATCACTTTCCACACATGGCAGTAGTGGTAATACAGGAAGTGGCAGCCACACTCATCATCATCAACATACACATCATCATCAGCATTCCTCTTCTGTTCATGGTAAAATCATGATGATATTATAATTAAATTGCTCTATAACATTTTTAAAATAATACTTAGGCTCAAGTCGCAATTTACCTCCTCAACCTGGCTCTATAAAAAGTGTTCCACACCATACGCCATTGTCTTTAGAAGCACTTAGAACACATACAGCAATGCATGGTAAAATTAAAATTTTATTTTATTAATTAATTAAAATTCCATTTATCTGGCCATAACATACGTATATAGAAGATGAACTATACCTCATGAAAAGTCTTAAAAAGTTTAAAACATATTATAATCTTTTCTTTTCAGATAATACAATCTTATGTTCTATAATTTAAAAAAAATTGGCCCCTTCTTTCCTTTTAAAATTGTATCAACTATAAAAAATGATCTAACTACGATGATGACTGATTCAATTTTAAAAATGAAATATTATTAAAAAATAAAACAACAATTTTAGAACCAGAATTTTGAAAGATATTAGTATTTTTATACTAGAGAAGAGTAATGCGGTACATAAATGCCTAGAGACAAAAACAAATAAATCCGTGTTTAACTTTCCGTAATTATAATCAAGTGTTAACAAATTTTAAAATACTAGTCCTAAAGTTTTTAAAGACCAGTCATTTTCTTAATTAGATCATTTCATCATTTTTTAATTAGTTAAAAATATGTTTCCATTTAAAAAAAATTAAGTTCATGTAATTTTAAAAAGAGAAACAAGATTAGGAATAAAAAATTTTTTTTAAAAATTGTAGAACATGATAGTATTAACTTTTAAAAAGAAAAAATTATGTTTTATTCTTTTAAAGATATTAAATGAGGTTAATAGTTAATTAATCACTCTAAATATATGAATATTTATTAATTTTATGAAAATTCCAATGAGACTAAATGGTTCTAAATTTTATAAGACTAGGGAAACCAACTATGTTGTATGAACCAGAGTATGGATGGCTAACAAGTATGGCTACAATAGAGTAGAGAATGAGTATAGCAGAAATGAGAATACTTAGATGGTTTAGTGGAGTGACAAGAGAATATAAGGATTAGAAATGAATATGTATCATAGCAGTAGCGTTAATTGTAAATAAGATGAGATAAAATAGGCTTAGATGGTTTGGTTATATTATGAGGAGAGAAAAATTAGAAGCTATAAGAACAGTAATGAAATTGAACATTGAAGGAAGAAGAAGAAGATCAAAAAAGAGGGGATTGGATATAATTAAGGATGATATTAGAACGTTGTTGTTTGTATAGATGATGTGGGAGATTTTGTAAAGTAAAGATTTAAGAACGGGTAGCTGACCCCAAGTAGTTGAGATAAAGGCAATTAATTGAGAAGAAAAGATTAATAAATTTTATGTTATACATTTATTTATTATAATTAAAGGTTATATGGGAGCAATGGAATTAGCTACTGGGATACCATCAGGTATGGAAATGATAAAACCAGATCAAATAATGAGCCAAAGTACTGATGATGGAAACAATGATGATGAAAATTTATCTAGTCCAAATGTTCATATTCCCCGTGGGCCATCTCCTGAATGTAAGATTGAGGACAGTGAATGTCATCGTAGTAATAATGCAATGTAAGACTAAAAAATCAATTTTTGCTTAAAATTTTTTAAAAAACAATCTACTAAATTCAATTATTTTGTATTTAAAATTTTAGATTCTTGAAGCATTGGAATAGAGGAGAATATAATTCTTGCTGTCGCACTGATTTAACATTTAAGCCAGTCCCAGAATCCAAATTAAGTAGGAAAAGAGAAGAACGTTCAAGAAGGCAAGCTGATAAAGAAAGAGATGAACGTGATAAATCAAATTCAGTAATAATTTTAATTGAATTAAAAATCAGTGTATTTGTTTATGGTTTGAAAATTGATAATAATTTTAGAGAAAAAGTTTGAATAGCGACAAACATATACAAAGTAATAATGAACAAATTACTAAACCACCTTCAAGAGGTAGTATCGAAGCCCTTCAATCCCCCTATGATCGGGTCAATAGTTACCAACATAGAGGAACGTCAGCTAATACTCCAATTTATCCCGATACTCCTGCATTACGTCAGCTTAGGTATTAGTAACATTTTTTTTATAATACCTTAGACCTAAGCTTAATAACTTGATTGAAAATACATTTGTAATTATAGCTGTGATGCAAAGCTGATTAGGTATTAATTTTACCATGATGTGTATTATTTTTTTTTTTTATTTATACTTTTTCTCAGCTCTTACCAGACCGATTTAATTCAATGATACATCAAAAAATCACAAATTGTACCTAGATGAAGACTTTAACTTTAAAATTGAAAAAAATTCACTCATTCCCTGTAAATGGTAGAAATTTCCAAAAAAAAATTATGATTTTCGAAATCAGTAAATTTTGACATTTTAAAAAAAAAATTTTCTTAAAACTGTCATAAATTTGTGAAAAATGAACAAATCAAAATAATTATTTTTTTATAAATATTTAAGATATTTCTCTTCCATTTGATATAAATTTTTTAAAAACCTAATTAAGTTTTGAAAATGTTACGGACAAACATGTATTAAATTAAAATTTATATTTTGTACTACAAGTTAAAAAAATGATACCCCACGACTTATCTTCTATGTGCAAATAGCTGCCATAATAAAAAAACATGCTGTTTTTGTGTTAAAATTTTCAATTTTTATTCTATATTTTCAACTTTAAATTGCCAAAACTTATTGAAAAATAAATAAATCATGGTAATATTAATATCTTTTCAGCTTCACATCATAGCTAAAATATCAATAACTTCCTATATAGTAGGTCTTAAGTTGTCTTTGTCTAATCATATTTTTATTCATTAATTAGTTAAATATGTATTTTACCATTATAAAATAAAGGATGATTTGAAAAAACTTAATAATTAATAAATCCAATAATATATAAAATTAAATATTATCAAATAGAATTTCATGTTGCTTTTGGAATAATTCAATAATTGCTTCTAACATATAAACACTATCTACAGATTTACATTGAAGTGTTTTTGATTTTTTTTTTATGATAGTGATATTAATCATTCAGATATTATGTATTTGTCCCCACTGTGCTAGTTTTTTTTTTTTTTTTTAATTTATTTTACTTAAAATATCAATATACTAGAAAACTGTACTATTGTTAACTTGTCAAAGAATTAAATACTCCTGCTCAATTTCTAAAATTAGGTTATGGATCTTGATAAAAAAGATTGGAAAAAATATTTAAATTTTTAGTAATTAGTAATACTAAGTTTTTTTCATAATTTTAATTTTTATTCTTTTCATATTTTTAGTGAATATGCGAGACCACATGCAGGATTTTCTCCAGTTTCATTACAACGATCTGCTCCTGGTTTAGGTTTGCCACCTCATTGCATTGACCCTATGCTACATTATCAATTCAACATGTATCCAAGAGACAGGTAGTTTAATAATTTATATTTTTTAAAAATAATTTTTTTTTTTAATTATATTAATTGTTAACTAAACTTTTTCCACTTAATTTTATTATTTTTACTGGTTTGAGTCCTTAAATTTCAGTCAATTTTCTTATGTTACGCAATTTTATTGATTATTTTAATATCATTCTTGTTTCATAAATACTGTTAATTTTTTTTTCTATTTTCATAATTATATTGATATTATTACTTCAGAAGTTAAACTATCATACAACTTTTTTTTTTATTATTATTATTGTAAATTAATGTTTGTATTTAGATTTGAGTATGAACAGCTAGAAAGAGAAAAACGTGAAAGAGAACTTAGAGAGTTAAGAGAAAAAGAATTAAATGAACGCCTCAAAGATGAATTTTTAAAATCAGGGTCTTCTGGTCCAGCTAGAATTGATCCTCATTGGATTGAATTACAACGTCGTTATGGAGGTACACCTGGTTTACATCCATTTGGCTTGTATCCATCACCAGGTGCTCCTGCAGGTCAACCTTCAACTCCTGGAAATATTAACCCATTAGACCGTGAAAGATTAGAAAGACTTGGTAAGAATTATATACAGTGATCTGTTTATCTTAAACCAATCAATTACAAAAAGTTAATTTTTTCCCTCACTTTTACAAAGTGATTCTTTTATCATTAACCACTTAATTGAAAAATAAGAATATTATTAATAACTTTGTAATTAGTTTCTTTTAGTTCTATGTTTTTCTAGATTTATCAATTAAAGTATTTTTTATATTCATCCTTTAAACCTTATAAAGTTGACAACTTTTTTTTTTTCATATGGCAACATACATAAATAACTAGTTTATTTATTAGATAATGGTCTAATTATGAAAATGACAGATTGGTAACAACTTGTACCATTATTTCAGAAATTATTATCACTTACTCCTAAACAGAAGGAGGAGTTAGGTTGGTAAATTTCGTATAATGATAAATATAAGCAGCAATTAATGAAAACCCATAAAAAAAATATCAATTAATTAAATGATTAATGATAGAAGAATCACTAAGTAGATAAAGACCATAGTGATATACATTTATATTTTTTTGCATTAAAAATTACAGTACAAATTAAAATTTCATTTTCAATTTTAGGTCCTAATGTGGGTCTTAGTGGGCCAAACTCAAATTCTAATCAAAATAATTCAAATGGAGGTCCACCTGGATCATCTGCTGAAGAAGCCAATCGTTTAGCTTTAGCAACAGATCCCATGGTAAGATTGCAGCTTGCTGGAATTTCTCCTGAATACCATGCCCATACACATGCCCACTCACATACACATTTACATCTTCATCCAGGTCAACAAGCAGCTGCTGCAGCTGCTGATAGCGCATCTGTATCTGCAGCTTCTCCATCAGTTTTCCCCTTGGGTTGTAAGTAAACTGTTAAATAAAATAATTATGACCATAGTTAAATTGCCTTATTTATTACACAATTACACAATAATCACTCCATCTATTGTACTTTTATGACTTCTGTAGCTGCTGGTGCCGGAGTATATCCTAGACCAAATCTTCTAACTGGCCGTGAACCTACATTAGGTCTTCATCATCCAAATGACGTTCTAGCTCGTCCATTTGCTGATCAAGTATAAATATCTATTAATTAATTTTTATATTGTTTATTCAATTTTTAAAAAATTTTATAATGATATAATGTACTTTATTTTAGGAAGTTATAGTAATTTTAAATAAATAATAAAAGTTACTGTTTAAATTTAATAACATATGTTAACATTGTAGGTTGCTCACGAACATTTTCAAAGACAAATGATGATGGAACGAGAAAGATTCCCACATCCTGCACTAATGGCTCATGAAGAGTTTATTAGGTATAATGGAATAATGTAAATATGATTTTAATTATTATTATTATTATTATTAATTCGTATCTTTCAACACAAAAATATATAGAAAATAATTAAATTTATTTAGTAACAAAAATTAATCTAAAATATATTATGGAAAACTATATTTTAAATTTGTAAGAATTAAAGATCGTGAATATATTTTTAACTGAAGTTATGATTATTTAGTTCATAAAATCTTTTATAAATAAATTTTATTTAGTTATATATTAAATATAATTCAATTTCAATCTCTCAGAACTAAACATATTTTTTGAGTATCTAAAAGATAATGAAGTGTTCTTTGAATCAGTAGAATTTATTAATAAAATATTAGCACCTTCATATAATCATTATAATATATGTATATTTTCATAGATGTTCACTCTAAAATCAGCACATGTTGCTGATTATAATAAATAAATATGATAATATTAAACACTTATTTAATGTTTTGAATTAAGTCTATATATCACATATCATATATTTGATTAGTTAAGTAAAATTTATATGTCAGATATTATTTATTGTAAAAATAACACAAAACCTGAGTTGCACTTGTACATTTTGCAAAAAAAAATAAATTAAATATTTATTATCAGTTAACTTTGTACCATTATACTATCTTAATTAATTTAATTATATATTTTATTTTTACTGTGAAAATTCTTAATAATTAATCAAATATTATTAAAGTGTATTTAATTTTATGTTAAGGCAACAACAACAAAGAGAACGTGAAATGAAAGTCCGAGCCCTTGAAGAAGCTGCACGTGGTAGACCATAAATTTTTAATCAAGTTATTTTACTTCAGGTACAAAATTAAAAAAATTTATTTTAATGTATTTATTGTGAGAGATAAATTTAAAGGGTAATAACAATTATATTATGATTTATATTCTAAAGAACTTAGCATTACTATATTATTTTTTAATTGTATTTTAAAGTGAAAATATTTTTAATTAAAGAATAAATTGTAATATTTACCACTAATTTTCAAATCTTGGATTAAGATTAAAGTAAAAAAATATTGCCAATTTATTTTTAGGACATAGATAGAATTCATTTTTGATGTATTAAATAATTATTATTATTATTTTAGTATTCAACACTAACTACCTGATACTGGAAATATTGTAAATTCTCGATATGAATTCAAGTGTTTCCGATAATTTAATAATAATAATTTTGGAAATACACAAACTATTAATGTGTGTCATATTTTTTTTAATTTAAATTTGTGTTATAAATAAAAATGTTTTTCTCTTTTATGAATCTTATGAAGTATTTTAATATAAATGTTGATAATTTATTCTAAAAACATGTATAAATAGTAATTAGATAATTTCTAAGAGCATTTACAAATTTGTATTTGCTGCACCCTTATCAAATTTGATCCGTCGCACTTCTAAAGTATTTCTGATTAGCAATAATATTAGAAATGCTTTCTAAAAATTAATTAAATATAATTGAAACAAACCAGCCAATTTTTTGCCAACAAAATATATTTCATACTAAGAAATATGAGTTAAAAAATAACAATAATGTGTAGTATTTTAATTTAAAGTATATATTTATTATTATTATAGTTTATACTAATTTTAATTTTCTATATAATATATAAATAATAAAGTTGTTATTATTTTTTTTTTACTTTTGCAATGTGTACATTTCAATAATTAATGTGTTAAGTTACATCACTATTATTTATCTTTGGTTTTATGGTTTATCAATTTACCTACAATAATTAATTTAACAATTTTATTTATTTTTGATGTTACAACATTCAAAAAATTAAAATTTATTCACCATTTACTAATTATTACTTGTTAATGAATTTGATGTCGTATATTTGTAAATAAAATATCTTCAATGTTTATAATACATATGTATTGCTTCTGAACCAATGGAAATATTTTAAAAATATCTTCAAGATTTTCTTATTAATTATTAATATTTATTTAAAAGAAAAATTAGGAATATATTATGGGTTTTTAAAAGGGCTACAGATTTTTATTTTTGCTTTTTTTTTTTTTATTGATTGGAGAGTATATTAAATAATGAATTATGTTGTATTTCATTAAACCAGTATTTAAAAAATGTATAATTTTTTTTAGATTATTAAATTTTTGTTTAACTTTATTAAGCGTGGTCTCAATTTTGTCAAATTATATAATATTATAAATTAATTGATATACCTTGCACAGTTTAAAAGTATAATTCTTTAATTGTAATTAAATCTATTACTATTAATTAACATTTTATTTTTTATAGTTATTATGTATAAGAAATGTTAATAATAATAATTAATTGTATATACACCTATTTCTTTAACCAATACTATGAATTGTTTTATTAGTCATGAGTACATAAAGTATAATACATTAAATTTAATAAAACAATACTAAAAGTGTTTAAAATTGTGTATTCTTTATTGATTAATTAGAAATTTGGTCTATTTGTTAGACAAAATATACACACGTCATATGCACTACAATTCGTTGAATCATCACTTCCTAAAAAAGATCCTGAATTAAATTTAAAAAAAATTTAATAATAATTAATGTACAAATAACTTGAAATTTAGTAAGCTTTTGTGTACTATAACTGATTATACAATTACCTTCAATTACAAGCTGTGACAAGTGATGTATATACTTAGTAGCTAGTTGTAATGTTTCAATTTTTGAAAGTTTTCTATCTGATGGATCAATTGGGATCAAGGATCTAAGTATATCAAAAGAAGCATTTACACTGTAATAAAATACAATTATAGGATTTAATAACTCTGTGTAGTTGTGACATCACTAATAGTACAACTTGTATTTTACCCCAAGTGATATACATAGAAAATTTTACTTTACAAACGAAAAATATGTTTCGTGTCTTGGGAGGTATGATTTTCATAATTTATACTATCCTAAATTTAACACTTCCTAATATGAGACAAATGATAATTTTTGTACCTTTGAGTGCGATCTCTTTCTCGAGCATTGGCTCCCGTTCGAGTTCGTTTATGAAAAACTCCATTGGTAGTTTTATCTTGAATGAATTGGTTACTGAATTAGGTAAATTTAATTTTTGTCATAATTAATGAAAAGCATGCTAAATAGTTTCAAAAAATAAATTACTTGAGTTTTCTTGAAAATAATCGCTAATTAGTCTCTTGTTATTGTTATACATGATTTCAAATATTGATGTAAACAAGGCAATAGAACTTGAGTTGTTTGTGGAGCACGATTCTTAACTCTCGACAAAACCTTTATGTTAGGTAATAATAATAACACTGATAAATTTTATATCTTATCTAGGAATATATGATGACTGAGGAGTGGCTCAAATGATGCTTAAAACCTACTATAAAAAAATGAATCGTTCATTAATCGTATTTGTTTGTCATCAAAATACTGAATCATTTCAAAATATTTGAAGCGTTGTGCATTGTAGTATATTACTTGATTTATTATTACTTTTACGTATCATTATTGGCTAAAGTCCTTAACACTCCCATCGCATTACATTTTATTTAATTGAGCGATGCCTTAGTGAACTTGGGATGTAAACATTGATGTTTTAATTTCACGTTACGTATTATAATATGCATACCCTATTACAGTCACATGACACCGTCTGAAGCCGTTGAAATCACAAATACTCACGAATTTCTAGAGAATACGTAACAACAGCTCAGTGTATTTTTTAAACTCATTCATTGCGCAGATACTTATTGTCTTTCCTAATAAAAATAAACTGAAAAATGGAAAATATACCAAGCTCTAGTGCCGTGTCTGAATCAGTACCCACAGTAATTGTGCAAAAACCACTTATCAAATCCTCAATAACGCCTGTAAGTACCTATTTAAAATAAACAAACTAGTTTATTTAAATAATTTAATCCTCTTAGGGTCTGCTAGCTGTTATATCTTTGCTTCCGTGTATTCTTTCGGGAGCTGTTTTGGGCTATACTGGAGTTACACTTTCAAATTTAGAAATTTCGTTTAGGAGCAAGACGTGGTTTGGTAAGATCATATTTTAAATCTCATTAAAACTGCTATGTGCATTGCATATATCAGTTTTTCAGAATAACTTTAAAATATATATTATACATATACTTAGAAGTTATCTTAAGGCACGAGTCACTATCTTAGGCGGTTGACAAATTTTTATATTTTTAGATAATTTTATCTAAATATAAGATAATCAAAAAAGGAGCAGTTAAAATTTGTTTAAAAGGCATCTATGTTTTTACACCAGGCGCTACAATATCTTGAACCGATCCAAAACATGTAATCAATATTTCCGGTCCAACTTTTGGATCGGACTAGCCAGGCCCGAGCTGTCCTCTGGTATATACCTACGTTTTTATCATTAAATCTATTATTCATGAGCAAAATTGGTACACAGTATATGATAATAGGGCTCGCGTGGTCAAATTATTAATATTTCGACTTTGTAGTTTTTTCTCTAAACCTAAGCTACACGAATCATACTTCGCGGTAATATTTTAAGGCCACAGGCGGAGTTTGAAATAAAATTTGAAGGAAATAATTTCAATTTTCTCATTCTAGATATATTTTCATATTACAATACATACTTAAATTTTTTTTTAATTTTGAGAGGACTCAGCCCTCCAAGTTCCACCTACATTCTGCCTGGTTATGGGCATATGGATATGACGTCTTCTTAATTTAAAAAAAATGTATTATATATATTATGAAGTTTCATCATTCATTTAATTTTTATAACATCGTATCTAAAAAAAAAATTTTAATCGTTTTGTAAATTAATGTTTCAAATGAAACCCAACCCAACCTAATTTAATTTATTATTTATTAATTATGAATATGACAATATTACAATTAATTTTTCAGCAAGTTTCGCTCTACTCGGTGCATCAGGAGGATGTCTCATTAGCCAGAGCATGATTAACACGTTCGGTCCTCGAGGGACGTCACTTCTCAGCCATCTGGTCGGAATGATTGGCTGGATTTTGACTATCAGTAGTCTGACTACACTCAACTTTTTTATCGGTCGGATTTTATTAGGGTTGTTTGTGGGTATCACTTCCATTTCTGTGAGCGCTTACTGTGCAGAATGTTTTCCTAGACGTCTTTCGGCTCGCCCGGTGGTTTATACGGCATTAGGAGTGTTTTGCATTTACTTCTGCGGTTCACTACTAAATTACAGACAGACGGCTTTCATAGCATTCGTAGTCACCATACTGTCGTTTTTTCTCGTCAGAATGTACGTACCGGAAAGTCCGGCATGGCTTGAATCTAAGGGCAAAATGGGCGATGCCGAATATTCTAAGCTTAAACTCAGGCTAACAGAAACCCCAAACAACGACCTAGAAGTTCAACCAGGATTGAAATTCGTCAAAAATATCAAGAAACAGGCCGTTTACAAACCGTTTCTTGCACTTTGCCTTCATTTCACCCTTCAGCAACTGTCCGGTCCGTTGGCTGTGGTGGCGTACGCCGTAGAGATTATTGGCGATTCGGGTGTAAGAATATTGAACGGATATTTTATCGCCGTTATATTATCAGCTTTCATGGTTATGGGAGCTTTAGTATCAACGGCCATGGACCATAAAGAGTCCACAAATATTTTATCTGCCACTGGCATTGTAATTTCTGGTATTGTAATCGGAGTGTTTAATTTGATAAGAAGTTTAGTGTTGAACAGAGTGGCATCTCAAATGTTGAGTTTCATACCATTACTGGGGATATTGTTATTGATTATATCCAGTTGCACGGCCCTGGTGCCCAGTCTTCCAATTAAAAATACTAACGGCGAACACACAGCCTTGGGTTTTAACTATTTTATTGGGTTTGTGGTGGTGAAATGTTATCCGTATGCTCAAGCTTATTTAGGATGGTGGATTTTTATAATTTTTGCTGTCATGGCCTCTCTTGACATTGTTACTTGTGTTTTATTTTTCTCTGAACCAAAAAAATCTCATCCATCGGAGGAACCAGGGCCATCTGTCTAAATTAATTCCAAGTTTTGTGTTTGATTTTGTGACTTTTTATGTTTGTATACATTCTTCACAAATTATTTGTACTTTCATTTGTTAATTTTTTTATAATTAACTGTACTTAAAAATTATACGACAAAAAATTAAGTTATTTCTTTTAAATAAATCTATTTCTATTAATCTGATCACATAGTATGTTTAATTAATATTAATTATGTCAAATTACTGTAACAAGGTGATCTTATTATTTAAATAGCTTATATATGGATTAGAAGTAATAGATATTTTTACTTTTGATTTATTCAATAAATAAATGTATTGTACACTATCATGTAATTGTTATGATTATTAAGTATAATACAAAAATTATTTATTTATGTATTGTTTTATTTGATTTTTACACAGTTTAGTGTTTGTAATATATATTTATTTTATAAGAACTTTAATTTTCAACAGATTTTTTTTCTTTATTACTTAAAAATATTTAACAAAATATTATTATACATATTTTCCAAAATAAAAGTGGTCAATACGTTTAACTTTACGTTGTAAATCATCCATATTATTTTTGATCAAATACTCCATTGTGTAAGGATTTTTATTATTGTCTTCTTCCCATTTTTCTTTTGCTGCATCATACTCCAATATTTCTTGACTAACAGCTCGGGCTTTAAATGGGAGCTTGGCTGAAATTTTACTTAAAATATCTTTTATCTATAAATTTTACAATAAAAATAAATAATTAATAGAAATATAAATAAAATAGAAAATCGACACAAAATATGCACTTATAATAAAAAAAACCCGGCACAGTGGTGACGTGGCATAGTTGGATCAAGTATAATAATATCTGACAGTGATTAAAATCACTTTAAAAAAAAAAAACGATTCGATGCAAATCTTTAGATAGTGCTTAATTTTAAAAAATTGGTGGATTATTCCAAAAGCTACATGATCTGCTAGTTCCTTATTAATATCCTGATAAAGATAAAGTATGTCGAATGAAAGAGGGATTATTAAAAAATATTATTTCTCATGAAAAAATAGTGTTGATCCATACACTTTTCAATAAGTTATAGCATTATAAAGTTAAAAATTAAAAAAATAAAATCGAGAAGTATCACACAAAAATAGCATTAGATAGCCATTTTTACCGTGAAGACAAAATAAAGTCCAAAATTTTTTTTTTTAATATTGAAGTATATTACATAAGCTTTAATTTAAGATATAATAGTATCAGTATTTCCGGAGCACTTTCAAAAATTAAGTTGAAAAAGTTCTACTTTCTATATGCATTTTTATGTTTTGAACCCCCCTCTATTAAGGGATATGGTCCGATTTATAAAAGAAGTATGTCGAATTAAAGAGGTATATAAATATTATTTCTCATAACAAAAATTGTATTCATCCACACATTTTTCAAGAAGTTATAACATTTTAAAGTTAAAAATGTTAAATATAAAATCGAGAATTTTAACACAAAAATAACATACGGTAGCCATTTTCACCATGAAGACAAAATAAAGTCTGAAATTTTTTTTTTCCATAATAAAGTATATTATATTAGCTTTAATTTAATATATATATAAAAGTGTCAGTATTTCCGGAACACTTTCAAAAGTTAAGTTGAAAAAGTTGTCATTTTAAATCCCCCCCTATGGGCAGGTAATAGGTTAAATTTATAAAAAAATATACCAAATGATAGGTAAAGACATCAAGCATCTATATAAAAAAAAAATTATATTGATATGTTTATTTTTAAAAAAGTTATAGCAATTTTAAGTAAAAAAAATTGAAAAAATTTCGAAAATTAGCGATTTTTAAATTTGTAATTTTTTTTGGAGGTTTTCCCCATTTACGGGGAACAAGGGAAATTTTTACAATTTTTGNACGGGGAACGAGGGCATTTTTTTTCAATTTTTGAGGGTAATGTCTTCGACTAGATACGATTTGTGATCTTTTGACGTATCATTGAAAGAAATTGGTTCGGTGAGAGCTGANATTAGATACGATTTGTGATCTATTGACATATCATTGAAAGAAATTGGTTCGGTGAGAACTGAAAAAAAGTAGTAACAGACACAAAAAAAAAAAAACACATCATAGTAAAATTAATACCTTCTCAGCTTTGCATCGAACCTAAAATTAATAAATTATAACAACTCAGGTTAAATGGGATCAGATTTTTTTTCTTGGTGCAGAAAACTTACACATGTATGTCTAAATTAATTGTTAATTAATTTAGTTTACATACTTCAATATATTCGCAATGTCCGCTAACTTCAATTATAATTCTTCCAGATTTTATAGGAGTTACATAATGATCAATGCTGCCTTTACCTCCACCCATACGTTGTCCTTGACCCTGTTAATATAATATATTTTAAATTTTCATGGACACTGAATAATAAATATAATATTAAGTCAATTTATTTGGTAATATTTATAATAACTTGTAATCAAATGAACTTCAAAACTAGTTTAAATGTGAGACATAATCATTCAAAAGCTACAAGGTGTAGCTATTAAATAACAAGATTTTCTCAGTAAAAACTTTTTATTAATATTTTTTAATAGTTTAACATTTCCCCCCTACTATATACTCCCCATTGTTTGACACAATGCTCCATTCTAATGTTTCATTGGTTAAAAAAGTGTTCGAAATCCTTTGTTTGCAATGTGTTTAACACCTCCTTCGCATTTTTTTTACAGCTTTAACTGACTTAAAATATGTAACTTCTAATGCACTTTTTAGTTTTGGAAATAGTCACAAGTCGAATGGAGCAAGATCTAGAGAATATGGGAGGTGTTTAAGCACTGGAGTTCAATTTTTAGCTAGAAATTGCTTAACAGAGAAGGCAATGTGAGCTGGCTGAGAGGTTTTTAAGGATTATTTTGGCAAAGACTTTTGTTATGTTCAATTTATTGTGAAATATTTGTTTTACGGTCTCCTTGTTGATATTAACTATCTTAGCTAACATTTAAATGCTCAGCCGCCGATCTTTTCACATAATCACATTGATTTTTTAAATATAATCATCAGATATTAAATGACACAAACATTGTTCATCTTTTACTTCTTTACAACCCTATAGAAATTGTTGATCAAAAACATGTGGTTGGGATATAACAGCATCTCCATATATCTCTGTTAATAAACAAAAACTTTCAGTCACAGATTTTTCAAGTTTTACCAGAAATTTTAAATTAATTTGTTGTTCAATTTTTTCGTCGGGCATAACTTTAACATTTAGTATGTAAGAGGTAAATTTAAACAACGATCACAAATAGACTACGGAACTGAAACTGACCATAATGGTGTTGTTCGATGAAATGATATTTATAGGTTACAAATATACCAATGTGATTCCCTGATCTACTTACGATTTATTGCAAAATTAATAGTCTTGTTGTTTAATAGCTTAGCTACACCTCATATGTCAATAAACTTTAACCAATAATATTAATAATGTTTCAAAAGATATTTGATAAAGTTTTAAATTATATACAAAATATTTGATATAAAAGAAATAATTCTTACTTTTTTAGTAACAGATTGCCATGGCGAATCTATTCTCCAGATAGCAAACATTCTTGACCAATCTAATTTTCTTAATAATCCCATTCTAATAACTTCAAAATGCACAAATTTCATTCTACCTCCTCCAGTTGCCTGTAAAATGCCATAACTTAAAATATAAGTGCAAAATAAAATAATTTATTGTATAAATGTTTTATTTTAACAAAGATTTTCATTTTATTAAGACTTTATTTTTTCAATCATTAAGTTACAACTGGTGTACTTTTGGTTAGTATTACATTGAAATGGGCAATAATTGATTTAACGGATAACTAATTGTGGCATACAAAACTTAATAGCATCTGATATGTCAACTACTTCCCTAATAAAGTTTCTGTATAAAAACTTAAAACAAAAATACTTATCTAAATAATTAGTATACCTGTATACCGTATTGTTTGTGAATTAGTTTGTTGTGGACTAATTCTGGTCCTCTCATTAAATCTAGCCTTTTAAACATCTTAGGTGGCTTAATTGATGAATTATATACAGGTACTCGTTCAATATAATGCAATTTTGGTCTTTCAGGCAATTGAATAACTATTATTTCAAGAAAATATTAGTAAATTTATTTAATAATTATGTAAGAAAAAATAATTCTTTGATAGTAATCAGACAAATTTGATTAGTAATGAGACTCATAGCACGAATGATACACTCACTACTATGATGTAATTTCATCAGAGTAATTCTAGGTCTTTCTAAATCGGAAATTATATTTATTAACAACACAATTTATTGTTTAATATAGCACATGAATAAATACATATTTAGAAATTAAATTTAGTATGAAATTGATGTTCAATGTTTTGTATTGTAATTTTAACAGGGAAATTATAAAAAGTTATAAAGTTTATAAATAATCAATAATAATATCAAGTGTTATAATTAAGTTTATTATTTATATTTTATGCTTAATACTTACAATCATATTTAATGGGAGGCTTGAAGTTTTTAAGCCCTCGAGTATTATTCACAACAGGATAAGTAATATCTAAGATTTATAAAAAATGGAATAATTAATAATAAAACAATAACTTGTTCTTTCTATTACTTTTAATCAATTTACAAATCATAATTTTGGAGCGGCTCAACATGTTTTTCAAATAAAATATGTTTTAATTTACTTAAGAACTGTTAATCATTTAATCATTTATTACTTATGAAATGAATATATAAAACGTGATATTCTCTAAATGTAATCTTTATTATATTCTTTAAGATTTATTCATACTGGGTAAACAAGATTTGTTATTAACTAAAATTGACTTAAATATTTTACAAGGTACTAATAAATTAAAAAGGCAATATTTTTTCATTCCATCATAATCGGCATTTAACTCTTATCACGGAATAGATGATAATACAATTGATAATATCATCTATGAGAAAAATTGTTGTTTACATAGACCATAAATTGGTTAATTAGTTAATGGCCGTATACCCCCGTCCGCTTGGGGCGCTGCAATGTTACTTATTTAAGCAAATAATCAATATTGAACATTTTTTGTTTATGATAAGAAAGTTCGTTAAAATTTAAAATGTAATATTGATAAACTTTTTAAAATGTCTTGATAATAATGGTCTTACATACCAGCAAAGGCGTAAAGCATTTGAGTAAATGTATTTGAATAAAAGTATTCAAATACTTTCATTGGTATTGAATAGTATTTTTAAATACATTTAATAAAAAGTATCTGAGTAGTATTTTAAATACAATTATTTAGATTTTATACTGTTTAATATTCAGTACTATTAATATACTTTTTTTTTTTTAATTTGTTAACCGTAACACAGCAAGCAAATTAAACTCAGTCAAAATGAAAATTGAGAATAATTCTCTGTTATTTTATATGTTACATTATAGTATAACATAATTATTGTGCTTATCTAAATGCTATTATGTATACATCTATTTTTAATACATCAGTTGAACCTACAATAGCCTATTGCAGGTTCAAATTATTATTAAATTATTTATTATAATTAAATTATTACTCTATTGTCAATAAGACATACTTTACAGGTTTTTACACGTGTACTAATATTTATTTTTTTCACTGATTAGTCTCCAATAATTAATTTTATTTACCTCTAACAAAAAATATCGAAAATAATAAATGAGTTCTCTTAATTTAAGAGTACTCATTATTTGACTCAAATTACCCTCTTGGTAATTATTTAGGTGGAACCTTTTGCTCTTAGTTAAAATAAAAACATTTATATTATTTTTTAATTGTATTCTTAGTATTTGAAATACTTTTGTAAAGTAATTGAGTATTACTCAAATACTTTTGTATGAAAAGTATTCAAATAGTATTTTAAATACATTTTTTTTTAAATATTTGAGTATTATTTAAAATACTTTTTAAAAGTATTTTTTACAACTATGCTTATAACTTATACATGTGTCAACTTTTTTTTCCAAATTACATGGTAGATAATTNGTATACTTTGAGAAGTACTATTTTTTTTTTGTGTAATATTGCTAAAGGAAATTATTTTAATATGTCATTTGATATGTAAAAATTTAATTTTCATTGTTTTTAATACTTAAATTTTACAAAAAAATTTTTAATTTTATTAGAGAATCTTCAAAAAGTATTAATTTAAGTAGTGATGATAACAAGAACCTGATTCTCCTCTAAGTTTAGATACATTTAGCGGTTCTCTTGTTGGTATAAATGAGAATAACTATTTTCCTCTAGTGGAAATAATCACTGACAGTCTGTTACATTCAGTTGAATTAAATATTTTGTTGCATAAATTAACAATAGAAGAAATTTGTATTATAATAATGGTATATAATGCTATACCCAACTCAAATATAATTAAAATATGTCTACATATTTTTAATATGTCAATATCATGCTATAAAAAGTATATTATTCAACTTTATAGATATTCATTTCAAGTAGAAGACCATAATTTGAATATTGAGATTTTATTGCATCTGTTATCTTACGAATATTCAGAAGTTGCATGTTATACATATTTTTGAATTCATAAAACTACCAAAGAATTCTTAAATGAAAATAACTCTCATTTAAAAAAAATAAAAGGACTTATTAATAATGTACTGTGTACTAGGATTTTGGGTGAAATTATTTGCAATGGATGTTCAAGTACAAATGAAAAGATATTAAGTTTGTTTTTAATCGCTCAGTTATGTCTTGGTGTATAGGTGTATAATAATTCTGTTGCTCTGAGCTATGTAGGTTTGATTTTTCTGTTCTCTCAGGCATGAAAAATAACTTTTAAAGAGGATGTTAAAAATAAAAAAATAATACATAATTATAAAAATAATAATTTTTAGATTTTTCATTCTGCCTTAGAAATATTAATACTTCTTTTGAAAAGTAAAAATATTAAAAATAACTGTACTTGGGTTATAAAAAATAGTTATAAAAAATTTAATTCCAATTTTTCCAATTCTTTGTTGTCATGCTTCTTATAAAACTGTATTTGACCAAATTATTCTTGACATTTTTGATTTGGATAAAGTTGAACAACATAAAATATCATAATTACAGGTAATTCAATAATTTTTTTATTTTATTATTAGAAAATTAATTGTTTTTTAAAATATTTATTGAACTACTTTGTTGAAATACATTATTCCTTTTTGATAAATAAATTTAATTGTTCTTGACTAAAATTATAAACGTAGAATGGCAGAAAAGTAGTAAGTATTGCCTTTTTATTTTTTATTTTTCATTTAGTTATTCCATGCTATTATTTTAATGTTAATGAGTAGAGATAAAAAATGTCAAGCTGAAGCTAATCAAAGAATTATGTGGTTATTAAAATCTACTCTAAATAAAACTATAGTCCTACCTCTAATAACTTCAATTGATGTTGATGTTTTTGCTCCAAATTTACAAAAATTTGTTGGTGGATATAATGTAAGACTTAAAATTTTTTTTTTTATGATCTTTAGCACTAATAAAATATTTTGCCTTATTCAGTTAAAAGATTTAGATGAAGTTATGGATTGATAACTAATAAATGTTCTAATAATCAAACAATAAAATGTGGATTGTATAAAATATTAACCTTATTAGAAAATGAAGATCTTAATAAATATTTCTTACAAAAAAATGGAATGGATATTATGTTAAATTTCCCGAAATCAATACAAGTATATTATTACCAAGACACAATAAATTAATTATTAAATGGAATTCTAATGTTTAATGATCTATCTATTGGTGACTACAAATAATTATGAAATACTTAGAAAAAAAAAGGATCATTCAAAACAAACCCATATCATTACTCAATAATGTAGATTTATTGCTTCATTTGATAACAATTAAAAATTTTAATTATTCATGGTAGGACAGTGAATTGACCAATTTTAAAATTACTGTAAAAATCATAATACAAACTGAAAAGGTATGAGTTTTATTATGATGTGTTTTTTTTCAGCTCCTATTGAACCCATTTTGCTCATTTAAATGCTAAAATATCATGAATTTATTATGTTCAAGACATTATTTTTTAAATTTGAAAAATATTTCTGTTCCTGTTATTAAGGAAAATTACTTAGTAAATTTTTATTGTTTAAATGGTAATTTTTTTAATGTGTGTGAAAAATTTTAACATAATACATTAAAAATGTCTTGGATATAATAAATATTTTTAATTCTTGATAGGTCCTTTTGATTTTGCTATAGACACATTTTGCGTCTATATCATCATCTAACAAAAGTATACACAGAGCTAAAAGTGAGAGGAGATGTTAGGGATTTCAGATCCCCTACTTCTACCTATGGTTAATAAGCATCCCATTTAGAATTCATTTGAAATATAGATAATTTTATGTATTGATAGGATGTGTCAAAGTGGTATAGAGTAATAGCCTTCTTTGTGTTTTTTTGTAATTTTATGCCCTAAATAAACCTCTAGGTCATAAAATGCATATACTATACATGTATACAGGGATCCTCTGATGATGTAAACATATAAATTTTTATTCAATAATGTTAAAAAGATACAGGTAAATGCTTATGCTCTAAATGCATAACAACAAATTAATTTAAAGGCAAATTATTTTATATATTCCTCCCACTCTTATATGTTATATAATATTCTTCCCTCTTTCTAAAATAAGTATTAACCACAGTAAGATCATACGATACTGCAAAATCCAGCATTCTTTCTCCAGCTTCATTCTTCCCACTAAAACTATACCCTACATGTACTCTTTCATATCCTCTCCTCTCATTACCTACATGTCCATTCATATCTCCACCTATCACCGAATCCTCATTGCCAGGTACCCCTTGCATCACCTCACCCATCTCTCACCAAAACACTTCCTTTTCTATTTCATCACATCCCACTTGTAGTGCATAGGTACTTATTACATTCAGCGCTTTTTCTTCGAATATAAATTTTACTACCATAATTCTGTCACTTTTCCTAGCTACTTCTACTACTTTACTTTTCATATCCTCATCCATTATTATCCCTACACAATTCTTTGTACTAGACTTACCTGAGTATATTATTTTATAACCCTCACCTATTTTTACGCCGGCTGTCGACCTGACGCAACCTCATTAGTCGCCTCTTACGACTGACAGAGGAGTCGTGGAAGTATTCTTATCACAGAGAATTATTTGTATATGTATATATATTGGAATTAAATTAAACCACTAAAGAAATGAGGATAATATAATAAAGTATAAATCACGATTTAAAGTAATATTAACTTATATCGTGATATAGAGTATAACTTTGGACAGTAATTTTGTGGAATTATCAGTAGGTATTTTATACACGCAACTATGGGAACTATGTTATAATTCAGATAACAAAAATGAATAAAATAAAAATAGAAATTGGATTGGGGCTTGTATATGGTGGGAACCTGATGTTGTGGTTCTATCGGGGTCGTATGGTTCGAGGGTTTAGAACGACAAAGACAAGTAGATATAAAAATAATAAACGCAGTACCTCTAATTGAGGTGTAATAAACTTTTGTCTGATTAGTTTCTGATGTCCTACCTAAGAGTCAACGAGACGGCAGAGCCAGTTCACGAATACCTGAGCCTAACTTATACAGTAGAAATCACGCTAGGTTTTTTAAAACATCTTTAAGGCAACGAAACGGCGGAGCCAGTTCATGAATACCATATAACGTGATTATGTATAATATTTTAACCAACCAGTCAAAATTAACACTTTAAGATAATAATTTAATAAATGATCTATTGCTTTGTCGTCCTTTATTCAAACTTATTAACTTTAAATAATTGAGATAACATAAATTTACTTACTTCTTTTCTACTTGAAAATTGCTGTGAAATGATTCGATAT